TGGACCGACGTGCTCGGTCTCAGGTACATCCAACTGACAAGTCCCAAATGGGACGGAATTTGCATCCGTGATTTCACTGCTAGTCACCATCCACCAATTAGCTTCTAATTACATGCCCAGACATCTTCGAAACATCTGCACAAGAAGCCGACATGTCAACCTGAGACCGAGCACTTCAGTCCAATCAATCGACAGGAAAATCTAAAACTGAATTAAACATTACAACAATTGTCTACGATGGTATACAGCAAGTAGTTTATTTTAAAAGAGTAAAAATTACTCAAACATACTTCATAATATACTTAATCCAAAAATCGTTGAGCTATTAGTGGAAACAGTAACCTTCAGCAAGACTGAACTGCATGTGCTTATCTGCTGTTGAAGAGCAGTAAACCCCATTATGTCTTAGCTTGAAGTCCCACAGATTTCAGTCACTAAAGTTGGATAGCAAACTTGTTTTGATTTCTGGGAATTAAGAAACAACCAGCGGAAAGAAAATATGACTAACGGAAAATTAGCCGCACTGGTAGATGTTCCCGAATGAGCGCGAAAAACCAAGTTCCTAGAGCAACGGTCAATATAACTTGTTCCACAAGTGCAGTTGAACTGGTAGATACAATTACAAGTGACTGGTCTAATTTCTGACTCGCAAACTGATTTTAGTAATTAGTAAAATCCATGTAATTTATTGATCACGAAAGTATTTGTTCTTTTGAGAGGTGTCGAGTAAAGAACATATAGATTAGCAAATTTGGTCTGTTTTCGTAACTTCTCATCAAATATGTACAGTTATCTGGAAGGGGGGGGAGCAGAAATTAACTGCAAAATGCTCCTGCTGAATATTGTACACATAAGCCTCTAAATAAATGTACACCTTTGATGAGAAGTTATAGAAAGAGATCTCTTTACTGTGTTATTAATTCACACATGGGTAATTGTCATACTCTCTTTAAAGCATGCATTCACACTAACTAATTATCTTGAGTTCATCATCATAAAATGCTTTCTAGTGATATAACCGTCTAAACCAGTTAAAAGGATGTGTAATTTTACAAATACTTGACGCATATTGAAAAAAAATGGGAACGTCTCTATTCGAACGAATCAATATTTTTTACTTTTGTTTGTGTAAATGAATCTTTAGTTGTCATAGTGACGTTACATTATGTTTATTTTGATGTATAATGTATTTATGTATTTAGAATTATGAATACCAAAAAAATCTATTCTATTTTTATCTTTGGATTAATAGTAAACACTTTAATTCTGCCTTCTTCTTGAAGTATTCTCTAGCTTTATTTTCCTCTTATGACTACGAAAGTAAATATTGTATGGTTCTTTTCTATACGACTTAACATTCGAGATTTTAAGGTCATCTATTAGCCCTAGTCACTATGAGTGGGTGAAATTTGAAAGAGGTCACTTCATTCACTTATCTAGGAAGCATCGTTTCAACTACAGGCGGATGGCACGGACGAAGATGTCAAAACCAAAATCGGAAGGGGCATGGCACACCTTCATAAATCTAAAATTGGTTTGAAGATCTTCTGCACTCAATCAGCTTTAAGAACAAGATTCGGATATTCAACAAAAATCTGAAGTCACTCAGTTCTTCAAAATGAGTCAAGAACTTGGCTATTGCGAACTTTTACCTACAACTGACTTTGTTCTAATATAGAAGATCGAATGGCCAGAAAGAATTAGCAACAAGAAACTATGAGAATAAATAAACCAAGAACCTATCGTTTAACAAATATCTAGGAGAAAATGGAGGTAGTTAGGGCCTACACTGAGGAGACCGTCGAATGACATCACTTACCAGGTCGCTGCTCGTGGGGAACTCAAACGGAAAACAATAAGTGGGTCATCAGTGCGAAGGTGACATGGAGGAGATCGTGTGGCGACAAGGAGATAAGAGATTATGGGTAATCACAGGCCCAGCTAAAGAGGATAACAGAGAATAGGACAAAGTGGAGATATGTTGTTGAAGCCCTATGTTCCACTAGGAACCAAAGGAGACAATAATAATAATAACCAGCTCTCATGAAGCAGCATGTCTCATAATGTGGTTATAATCAACCTACAGCTTTTTATTATAAACATTTCAGTTCTGCTCCTTATTTATTTATTGATAAAGTGGAAAATTAATAAAGGATGAAAATATAAACATTCATGAAAAAAGATAAGTAAATAAAAACCACTTGAAATACACTGCTGGACAACTTATGACACCACATCGATGATCCCTGAAATTGTTAACATGTATTTGGTCTGATCACTTTTATGAAAACAAAACACGTGGTTCAGCGAAGTATCTCTTTTCAGCGAATTCACCCACTTGGTTGTCCAATCGCAGTTATACATACTTATTTTTCTATGTGTTTGTATATTAGGTTTGTCCTATAAGAATAAAAATAGGTTAGTGTGATGGCTGTCAAGACAAATCAAAAGATGTGATGAGTAACCAAACTGTAACTAGGGTAGGGTGACAATTGGTAAGAGGGTAGTGGGAATTCGTTGTCAAAAGAACCGATTTATTTACACATAAAAAGAAGTTGAATAAGCGTGATACAGTTACCTTATAAGATGAATAGTTTAGTGAGTGAGTTGTGGTTAGGATGCACATAGAAACAAATATAAAGAATGGAATTATGAAAGAGTTCTAAAAATTACAAATATTATAAGGAGTTAGATATAAGTATATATATAATTGTGACTGTACAGCTAAATGAATGAATTCACCGAAAAGAGACTCTTCGCTGAACTACGTGTTTTGTTTTCAACAATGTCTGGATGGGGATTATTCATGACCACTTTTAGATTTAAGCGAATCCCATCTAAATGAAACTAACAATGTATCATTAAGGTATGCAAATACAGCAGAGCAAATAAACTGGATGTTGATTTAAAAAAACCTGTTGGTCGATTTATCTTTCTTATCTATGATTATAAACACCATTTTATCAAGTCTAGCTTGCTATACCTGTTACGAGTTGTCTTTTAGTCAAAAAGATGCCTTGGAAGGAAGACTTCGCCTAGAATAAGCTAGATTCAGGAGAAGATTCAAGCGTGGACCATATCCTTATACTTTGCATCACTATCGAACAGCGTATAGAATACTAGTCAACACTTTACCTTCTATAGAGTCAATCATAAAGCAATTTGGTAGCTACTTAGACACTACGGTTTGCAGTACGGCAAACGTTTATAAGTCTCACTCAACAGCTGTATGATGATACCAAGTAATTAACAACAGAAAGCTCAAGGAATTCTGTCAAATGGAGATAGGGATAACGGAAGGCAGCCTTCTAACAACAGCGGAGTAAATAATGCAACTTACCGTGAGGGCTGAGAAGACGGACATTCGTTCAACCAACGAAATAATCCTAGAAGATCTTAATTTCACGGATAATGTATGCAACATGTCGAATAAACTTGAAGATCTGCAAGCGAAAACCAACAACTTAGGAGAAGAGTTAGCGATAAAACGGAACCAGGTGAACATAGAGAAGACAAAGGTAAGGAAGATGCCCAATCAACAATAAACACCAGTCTGGGGAAGTCATCTCTTTCACTTACATCCGCAGCATCATCTCAACGGATAAGGATATCCAAGCCAACCTGGGTTGGATGGGGAAAGCAACACTAGCGTGCATTGCTTTGAAATCATTGTGGTGTCAAGATCTACACTGTTGGTTCAACACTAATATCAAGTCATCACTTGTTTACAGTTCAGAGAGTTGGCGTGCGCGTTACCGAGAGTATTTCCAACAGGATACTGCATAATTTCACCAACAGCTGACTTCTCCAACTCGGTGTTGCAGATCAAATGGTCAGCCTGAAAGGATAATCAGCGAGCAACTCTGACAGGCGACGAATCTGTTGAGAATCTACTGCCTAACAAACGTGAAGAAGGAAATAAAAATGCATTGGACACAGGCAGAAGAAATATTCAAGTGAAGTCATACGCCAGGTAATGCAGTGGGATACGAATAGGAAACAACGAGTTGGACGTGCGAAAGTGACACAGGGGATATCATGTAAGGGAAAAATGAAAGCCTGCGGGCATCTATGCAGCCAGGTGAGAGTGATAGCAGAGTAGCCAGTGGAATGGAGATGCCCTGTTGAATCCGATTTCCTACTCAGGATGCAAGAGGTGAATACTAATATTATAACAGTGAAACACAAAACAAAGAAGAGTACAAAATGTGATGAAATATGTAACGTTTGTATCAGTGAATTATCAGTTCCTTATTAGTGCAAGGATTATGAAATGACAAATGATAATTGGAGAATATTTTCATAAATATCTTTCACCAGAAATAACTTTAGAAGCATATATCATATTCCTGTTATATAGAATAACATCCAAAACGTACCTTCACATTTTATCAAGTATTTAACTTGTTTCATTGCAGAAAACTAGAATATTTAGATCATGGGTTTTTGGAAGGTCTCACATTAATGCCATATCAGATTTCGTCGTGAAGTGATATCAATTAGAGAATTATTGAAAGCCAGGAATCACTAGACATTGGTGTGGTCCTAGCAGTGCGCATTCACAACCTCGCTAGAAATTCTGGTTCGAGATTTCAGTCAGCATGAAGTTCTTTTAAACCTACGTTCATCTTATGCCCCATTGAAACTTATCACTGAGACTTGTGGATAAACCCACAGAAACTTGTATTCCTTTATGGAACGTCACATAACCACTTTAATGATAGATACTTCAACTTCAAAACTGAGTGATACCGTTTCCCATATCAAATGAGAAGTAAATCTTCTAAGAAATGCGTTCACATCCACTTAAGAATAATGGCAATTACAAAGCAGAGCACTTAATCCACCAATTTCTCAATTACAAAGCTAGTTCGACCCGATAAGTAACTCCAAAAGAAAAGGAAACTGAGATCAGTACAGCATTTCTGCCATTATCCCGTCGAAAACTGTTTCATTGTATACTTTTTGTATTGTTCGAAATTTTTTTCTTTCAATTTCAGATACTATCTTAAAATTGACAGTATGTTATTAAAGGAAGAATTCCAAACAGCCGTAAATTGGATAAAATTAGCACTGGACAATGTAATGAAAACAGGCCAAGGTAATTCATCCTTAATAGAAATAGAAATTTTACTCTAAGGAAAACTGAAGCGATTGGTTTTTGACCATCTAAAGCCTAAGATATATCTCATTTTCAAAGTTCCTTTCAGTAAGACCGGAATGCATACAATATACTATTAGATTATTCAGGAATACCGGGGTGATTTCCAATAAATTCTGATTATTGTTTCATCTAAAGCATATAAAGATACCGAGTGTGTGCAGAACGTATTCAACAGCTTGCTTTTCAGAAATATTAATCATTAAATGGGGACGAATGGATATTTCACTTGACAAATCTAACAGTATGTTGCATATGAAATTACATGCTATGAACAAGTGTATTAAAGGTTCGCATTGGATTTCTTAGAATAGACCACAGTCACTTATACGACTACACTGTTTGTCATATACGATGCATCTTAATGTAGGAGTACAGTGTGGCTGCTTTAGTGTGATATAACACAGCAATGCAGTATTGATAACTGATTGAAGCTTCCAGAGCAATTTGTTGTCGATAATCATATAATATTAGTTTGATTATTATTTTATTATTATTAGTCCCCTGGCTTCAGCAGAACATTATATTCTATTCTTTGCCATCACTCCCACCTGGCGAAATAACCACTCACAAGCTTATATTTACTTCTCTACTTGCTATCAGACGCCTAATCTATTGCTTCTCTTACAGATTCCACTCGGCAGCCTGTCATGTGACTCCAATTGAAGGTCTCCTCAGCATATGTCGAATCTGTCTTTATCTCTATCTTCATATTTGTTGTGCAATGGGTTGTTTTGGCTGGTTTAGTGCCATCCAGAATTATTCACTACTTCTTTTATCAAGACTGGCCATCTGACCTCCTGCATTTAGCCAATGAAGGCAGCTGTTTGTGAAAAATTGCAGCAACCTGTTTGAAAATACTTTCGGTGGCTCATCCGCCGACTCTCTGAACAATATAGAAGTGGTAACTTGACATTAGTGTTGAAAATTTGTATCTTATTCCCCATTTTTATGATTTCAGAGCAATGAGCGCTTGTGTTGCTTTCCCCATCTGATATAGATTGGCTTTAACATCCTCACCCGCGCCCCTCTACCTAGTGTTGATATGATGCTAAGGAGTTATGTGAAAAATACGACTTTTATTTAAAATTCTCGCGGTGGTGGTAACTGGTGTTTGCTGTTATGGGTTTATTAATACGACCATGCGAATTAAGTGTTGTTTCTGAGAGGTGGGGTTACTGGAATCACACTCAACCTCCCCTCTTTTCTTAGTTCAATACAGGCCAGTTAAGTGTGTTGCTGGCAAATATTATCCCATTGAACCACAGAAGTCTCCATGTTTTTTTGGATTACAGCTTGATTCCACACCGTATTTTCGGTACAAGTATGGAATTTTCAGCATGGATATCGGTAGCCCAAATTTTTCAGGCCGACCATAGATATCGGGTGTGCGTTGGCAGGGGATCGAATCTCGGACCGTGTGCATGATTTGGCGAGAGTCCTAACCACTGTGCCACCAACGCACAGTCTATCAGTGTATGTTCTATCAAAAACCTATACGATAGGGAGAAAGTGTTATTCTAATAAAGTCATAATTATCTGGTGCAATCAAGTAGATCTTATATGAAACATGAAAAAGGAGAATATTTATAAGACGCTATGCTGATTTATCCTACATTATTCTAAAACAGTTTAAGTCACTGCTCTCTCACATAATAAATCCTAGTCAATATTTATTTCACTCAATGTGTAACGACAGAAGACAAGGTCCAGGCAACAGATCGCTTATTGAGGAAATCAACCGACATTGATAGATTTTTATGTACATTACTGTCAGTGGAGAAGCAGCCTCTTCTGATTGGTTGTCTTCTTGCTGAAGGTTATTCTGTTATCTCCTTGTGTCCGTTTCTTAAAAACTTAAGCCATATATCTGCAAATCGTATTTGCACACGTAAAATCTGGCGTGATTGGTTGGTGAGTTCCTCAAGGTTAAGCTTTGTCATTGTTTTTCTCGTGACCCCGATCTCGGGACGTAACATTGACGTAAATTGTTGTCTTCAATTTCGGCTTGCAGACAGCTCTTATCACAAGTGAAAGTGTGACTAAAAAGGAACCGGTATAGAAATGGAATTTTAGTAACATCCAAACTATCACAAGTATTATTCATTTCAATTATTCAATCTTCAACATCTTCTAAAAGAATTTTTATGCCTTTCAAAGTCGATTACAATACATCTCGTAAAAATACTCGGAATGAAAAAATAGAACTTGTGCACTACGGTAGAGTATAATTCCACTGTGGACAAAATTTATGTTGATAAAGTCTTACAGTGTTATACAGTAGTATTTACTGATGATGTTCCGAGCACAGTTTATTGCTCACATACCTATCAAGTTACTCACACTACTTTCTAGCTTCGTTTATATGATTCCACTATTTTTCATCTCTTGATTTGATTGGTAGTAATATTTTCCAAAGCTCATTGGTTGGAGGATTTCAGCATGAACTGACATCAGTTACAGAACCATTAGAAAACCTGCAGGGAGTACTGGACAACCGTTTCGTCAGCCTAGTTTGGGACTCTTTATCAGTAAGCACCCACCAAGGCTCGAACCCAGGACCTTCTGGCTACAAGGCGAGCTTGCTCGTAGACCACTAAGCCACTGGGACGCGATTCAGTGGCCCATGAATTCAAACTCCTGCCAATTCATTTTCCATATTTCTGGTATGAGTGATGAGTCATTTCTATTGCACGTGTTGCCTGTAGAGTCTATCAACAGCGATCCACCTAGGTGGAGAGAGAGGTTGATTACTGAGTCCTTGTTCATGGAATACTCATATCAGAAATAATGAAATTTTTACTACCAATCAAATCAAGAGGTGAAAAATAGTGGAATCATATCAACGAAGCTGGAAAGTTGTATGAGTAACTTAATATGTATGTGAGCAATAAATCGTGCTCGGAACGTCATCAGTAAATACTGCTGTATAACACTATGAGACTTTATCGACATAGATTTTATCCACAATAGAATTATAATCGGAATGATCAACAATAAATTAAACTTAACCATCGTTGTAGTTTATAGTACATTGTTTAGAAGAAGAATAAGGTACCCTACTACAGTAGTGAAATGTTGTGGTGATTCCAAATTCAATATTGCCTTCAGGAATTTCAAAGAGAAAAAGACTGTTAAGGGGCCAAATCCAATACTTATTAGAGACAGAATACATTGGACAATAATAAATTCACAGACCTTGAATTATTTAATTTCACAATTTGAAAACAATGTCATCCATTCTAAAAGTCTTAATTTTCTTCAGTAGCTTTGCCAACAAAAAATACTATCATTTCCTCTCCGAAACTACTTTATCATCACCAGCATACACCGAAGTGTTGCCATTTCAATACTTCATTGTAAGTAAAGAGACATTATGGACACCAAAAAGATTTCTTGTCAGAAGACAGAACGTGATAGTTACACTGAACATACTAACTCAGCATATTCAACAAGCATTTGATCAAACTTCATATATTAAGCGTGAAGGTGAAATCAACAGCTTCACTAAAGAAAACCGTCCATTTCATGAAGTGAAAGCATTTGGATTGAGTCATGTATGTGACTGCTTAATTCCTACTGTCTAAAGATTCGTATGACAACGACTAGTCACAAATCAAACTGTGAAACCACACCATATTTGTGCGATGAAACTCAATGGGTGGATTACAATTCAATCACTATGCGATTCACACAAAGATTGAGGTGTTTTCTAGTAATTTATTGATCCATTTTCAAGAAGTATCTCAGGTAAAGCCAAAAATACTAAAGTAAATTGAAGCACTATCTAAGCGGTCTCTGATTTCTTTTCTTTCCCTTAATTGGAGTCAGTTTTCGGTACAAATATGGATTCCACGGCTAGTCACTATCCACCAATTAACTGCTTATTACATGTCCAGACATTGTCGAAGCATCTGTACAAAAAGCCGACATGTCAACCTGAGACCGAGCACTTCAGTCCAGTCAATCGACAGGAAAATCTAAAATTCAATTAAATAATTAATATGACCCGTTGCCCAAGAGGTTGCTCTCGTGACCTAATTGGTCTAGTGGATAGCGCTTTGGCGTTGGAAACTATGGGCACAGAGTTCAATCCTCGGTGGGAACATCACCACTCACTGGGGAATGCAGGTACATCCAGTTGACGAGTCCCAAATGGGACGAAATACACGTTATCCTGGATTCCATCGCTAGTCACCATCCACCAATTAAATATGCCTTCAATTCGGAAAAGTTCTTTACAAATTACCTAAACAAATGAATTAACATTCTTTCGTTAAGAAAATCAGACATACTTTTTTTGAATGTGTCTTAGAAATCCAGCAGTTAACATCTTGTTTCACGTACAGTTTCAACAATAAGCAATTGGAGAACTGGAATTTTCTTTAATATCGGACTACTCACTTATGAATAATTTAAATATATACATAATTTCACACTACTTACGGTCAGCGCATCAGTGGCACAGCGGTGGAATGCTCTCCAATCACACATATGGTCCGGGGTTTGACCCACGGCCACCGACGCACTCCTGTACTTCGCTAAACCTGTAATAAGACTGGTATAGAGGAATGGTTGGGTATGAGGCTAACAGCCCTAGCTTGAAGTCCTATCTTCCTCTAGGAACGTAAAGGAATGAAAAAAGAATTTACTATCAACAGTATCTTCTGGAAGTATGGCTATTTTAAATATACGGGTGCATAGCAAAATTAAAACACCATTAACTTTTTATAAGTCGTCTACTTTCGGAACAAAAATCATTGCCAGCACCAATAGGTGTATCAACCAATATCCATAAAAACTGCTGAAAATTAGCAGATACAAGGAAGCTGCACTGTAACACTTCGAAACACCCGCCTTCCCCTGAAATTGCATATATATATATATATTTGTTATTTTTTATTATTGCTCCCTTGGGTTCCTAGTGGAACATAGGGCTTCAAATGCACGTCTCCATTTGCTTCTGTCTTCCTTCTGCTGTACTTTTCACCTGCATCCATCCATGTTAGTCCATACTGTTTCAACTCCTCTTTCACACGATCTCCTCCATGTCACCCTTGCACTGACGTCCCACTCGCCGCTTCCCATTCTGTCGGGTTCCACTCGAGAATGGCCTGACGCGCGCCCATGTCACCCATCAGCCTCCTCACCAAGTGTCCAATTCATCTCCATCCACTTTGTCCTGCATATTTGTTGGTTGGCGATTGGTTCTTGTTTTGTTCGTTTCTTCCCATAGTTTCTTGTTGGTGATTCTTTCCGGCCCGGCCATCTGACCTTCAGTATAGATCAGCGAAGACAGTTGTTGATAAAGGTATGCAACAGGCTGTTGGAAATATTCTTTGTGACCCGCCCGCCAAGTTTCTGATCCGTATAGAAGAAGTGACTGACTTGACGTTTGTTTGTATTGAAAATCCAGATTTTTGTTGTTGATGCTGAGTGACGAAGATTTCCAGATTGATTTCAGGTTGATGAATGTGTTTCTCGCCTTCCCGATTCTCTTCCGATTTGACATCCTCGTCCGTTCCTCCTGTAGTTGAGACAATGCTCCCTAGATAAGTGAATGAAGTAACCTCTTTCAAATCCCTCCCGTTGATGGTGATTGACGCTGGATGTTGCTGCTGCTGTTGTTGTTGTTGGTTGGTTATTTTCATAACCTCCGTCTTGTCTGCATTTACCTGGAGTCCTGTCTTTGCTGCTTCTTCGACCAGTTTGTCGGTTTTCGCTTGTAAGTCTTCGATTTTGTGTGACATCAAACATAAATCATCCACGCGCGAAATCCAGGTCTTCTAGGTTCTTCACGTCGGTCCAGGATATCCCTGTCTTCTCGTTTCCCACTGTCTGACGCATAATCCAGTCCACCACAATTAGGAATATCATTGGTGATAATAAGCACCCTTGTCTGACTCCTGTGTTTACTCCAAACGCCTCGCTGAGTTTTCCGTTGTGGATCACTTGACATGTGCCGTTGTCGTACAGCTGTTGAATAAGGTTGATGAATATTTGGGGTACGCCATAGTACTCGAGTAATTTCCAAATTACTTCACGGTCAACGCTGTCGAAGGCCTTCTCAAAGTCTATAAAGTTGAGGTAGAGGTTTGATTGCCATTCCATGCTTTGTTCTGTGATGATGATGCGTAGAGTTGCAATTTGGTCAGTACATGATTTGCCTTTCCTGAATCCAGCTTGTTCTGGTCGGAGTTCTGTCTCCAGTGCGTCCTTTAATCTCTCCAGGATGATGCGACTCAGGATTTTACTTGGCGTCGATAGGAGCATGATTCCTCGCCAGTTCTTGCAGAGTCCTAAGTCGCCCTTCTTTGGTAGTTTCACGAGGTAACCTTTCCTCCAGTCAGTAGGCACCTTTCCCTCCTTCCAGACCTTTTGCAATAATGGAGTCAGCATGTCTGCTGTAGTCTCTGGGTCTGCTTTCAGTGCTTCAGGGGGTATTCCATCTGGTCCGGCTGTTTTTCCAGCTTTCAGAAGTTTGATTGCATTCAAGACTTCAGCTCTCGTTGGAGGATTGGTGTCAACTTGCAGTTGTGTGCGCGCTGTTGTTGGTATTTCTGGACGGGTTGCAGGTGGTGGTCGGTTCAAGAGTCCTTTGAAGTGATCCGCCCATTGTTTAATCTGTTTTTCTTCCTTGGTAATTGGGTTCCCTTGGCTGTCTTTTATAGGTTTCGCTTGTGTTGGTCTCTTCCCGGATAGAGATTTGGTTATCTGATATAGTGTCCTCAGGTCCCTTTTGCCTGCTGCCTTCTCAGCTTCAGTGGCGAGGTTGTCGTAGAATCGTCTTTTGTCCTTCCTAGCACTCTTCTTCACTTCTTTGTCCAGTGCTTTGTAAGTTGAGCTCATCGTCTCCTTCTCCTGTCCGTCCTTGCATTGAATCATTTTCTCTTTCACCATTCTCCTCTCTTCTATTAATTTCCAAGTGTCCGTTGAGAGCCATTCCTTGTCTTGTCTCTTCTTTCTTCCTAGAACCGTTGAACACGTTTCGTTGAGAATCGCCTTCAGAGACTTCCAATGTTCTTCCACGCATGATTCTTCAGTGATGTCGCGTAGTGTTTCCTGCTTTGCTCTGACAGTTGCAGTGAAGGTGTCTTTTGTGGTTGTGTCCTTCAGTTTCTGAGTGTTGAACTTGCATTGTGGCCTATCCCCAGCTATCCTCGAGGCTTTTAGTTTCACCTTGAAAGTCCCTTCTACTAGATAGTGGTCTGAACCCACATCTGCTCCTCTCCTTGACCTTGTGTCCAGTAGGCTCCGTCTCCACTTTCTTGAAATTGAGATGAAGTCTATTTGATTCTTGGTGTTTCCATCTGGTGAAATCCATGTCGTCTTGTGTATATCCTTGTGTTTGAACACACTACCACCAATCACCAAATCATTGAAGGCGCAGAAGTCTGAGAAGAGTTCACCATTGTCGTTCATTTCGCCGAGGGCCTCACGACCCATGGTGAGTTCTCTTCCTGTGTTGTCTCCTCCCAGCTTCGCATTCATGTCGCCCATCAGGATTTTGATATCGCCATTTGGGACGTTGTCCATTATTGCTTGTAGTTGTCTGTAGAACGCCTCCTTCTTCTCTTGTTCTGAGACGTTTGTAGGCGCATAACATTGAATGACTGTAACTTTCCTTCCTTTTGAGTTGAACCTGGCTGTCATTATCCTGGAGGAGATTGGTTCCCACTGCATGAGAGCTTTGGTTGCTGTTGGTGACATCATGATGGCCACTCCCTCGGTGTGCTCATGGTTGTCCTCTAGGTGGCCGGAAAAGATTACTGTCTCTCCAGTAGGTAGTTGGCACCTTCCAGTTCCGTTCCATCTGCTTTCGCAGATTCCCAACACTTCTATTCTGTACCTTCTCATTTCAGCGGCTATCTGGGCAGCCTTTCCAGTTTCGTACATTGTACGAACATTCCAGGTACCCATCCTTACTTTTGCTTTCATCGAAAGAAGGCACATCGGCTGACTGGCTTCCCGAAGGCTGCTTTCACCAGCCTGCGTCATTTCACTTCCCCGATTCCAGCGAAAAGTAAGGCTATTGCTTATGTTTTTAGAATTTTTAATATATTTATTCGTTGAAGTTTCTGTAGCGATTTGGTTGTTTTACAGGGGTGGAGTTGCTAGCACCACGCCCCAACCCTCCCTCTTTACCCGGGCTTGGGACCGGCGAGAAAACTAGTAAGCTAGTAGCCTAGCAAGCTAGTATCTGGCGAGGTTATATATATATATATATATATATATATATATATATATGTATAAATCTCGGTGGTTGAGTGGTAGAATGCTCGCCAGCCACACGTGAGTCATGGTACGATTCATGGTAGGAATCTACTAGACTTTGTATCGCTAGTAGTAAGCGCAGACAACAAGGAGGTTCTGGAGTGAGACTACCGATTCCACCCCGTAAGAACAACAGTATTGCTAATGACACTTCAGAGCTTCAAGCTGTATATACCACTTTGAATGTAAGGAGTGAAAATATTGCTGAAAAGTGGCATAATCTCAAAATCCCATCAAAGTATTTTTATGCTATTTATCAGTTATTTTCAATGTGCTTTTTATTTCAGAGATACTAACTTCGCCCTTAATTTGCGAGTTACTTCAAACTGTTTTAGAAATTGGGAACTATATGAACAGGGTGAGAATAGCTTTGTTCTTATTTTTTGATTGATTGACTGTGGTCGGGCTCACTGTGAAAATTATAATCTACTTTTCAGCAAACTTACTTTACAACTGGCCGTCTAGAAAACTGAGCAGAAATTAACTTCGACTTATTTTGCGAAAGATGTAAAACGAAGACATTAATTAACAGAATACAATGACTGTAAAAGTTAACTACTTCTACTCGTCTTGTGTATTTTTATGTATTGAAGCATAACAAAACGTGTTGAACAGCACTTTCTTTTAATAGCTTTATATTGTGCTTAGGAAGGACAAAACAGAATGCGTGTAGTACCCAAATACTTTTTTCTTAGACTTATTAATATTGAATTTCCGGTTCATTTCCTGAACAATAATTTGGCTTTTGACTAGAAAAAGACTTGATTCAATCGTTGAGCAGAATCACATTAATATCCATTATCTTAGACGGTAGAACCTGTTGGTATTCAGTAGGAGACTTGGCACTCTTCGACCTCTACAACACATTTTGAAACACAGAGAAAACTCACGGTTTGAACTACCAGCGAGCGCCCTTATGTCCCTTTCATATTCTTTACCTATCAGCAAAACCGTTGCTCTTGTGTCAATCAAACAGACTGACTGCCTTCCGTTTACTCGTATACTTCCATGCACGGTAACCCCTTTCTATCAATCCTACAACTTATGAAGCAACACTACAGAAAGAACGAAGATTACGTCGTTTGCAACATTTGCCTCTCTTATTTATGGGCATTTTCTCTACCAGTGCCCACAAGAGAAATACTTATCAGTCTGCATCACTCATGTTCACTTGCGTGACTGTCGGACTCCTTAACTGTCTTGTGAATATCACCATAGTTCACCGACTGAAGCTGGTGAGAAATAGCAGTGAAAACGCACTTCATAAACTGCGTATCTGAATTTTTGTCTAAGGTTCGTAAGGCACGTCCCAAATTTGTCATTGTTACTGCCCAAATCGGCTGATGTTCATGTGAACCAAGACGTAGGCTGCTAAATTTTTCAACACCTCTTGGTGTTCTGATGGACTGTTATATTCTGAAATTAGGGGCTGACTGACCTTCCGCAGGGATATCTCTGTGACCGTTTCACATGAACTGTTGTAGGCAGACTTCACCTGACCTCTTGGTAGTGTCCCCAGTACTACTGTCTTTACCACCAGATCCTAAAAGCAAACTACCATAGCAACAGCTTCTAAATCTTTCAGGAAGCTTTGGATGTTTCCATAAATAAACTGAAAAGTAGGTTCCTTATATCATATGTACTGTAATATAATCTCAAAAACACTTGAATATTACAGTTTGTTTATCTTACAATGAGTGTATTTCAGAATACACATAAACTATCTCCGACCAATTACATATTATTTTTTTAAGTGTTATGCCTTTAACTGTGTTAGCATTTTGTTAGACAAAAGTTTAATTTCTGATTTTCCAAATACTAGGGTGACAACCTTGGATCAGCATCTGGTTTCAAAATTTCCAGTTTACTAAAACTTTCTGAAGTTCGATCGAATGATCCGAAAATCACACTGTTGCATTTTCTCGTTCAGGTAACATATCATGATGACTTTATGAAAAAAATTTCAATTTTAGTTTTTTTTAATGCTGAAATAATTCGACCGTTTGTAAGCAATGTAACATATCAACCTTTTCATCGGTGACATAGTAAACTGTTAACTAACGTCCTTTTAAAGTATAAATATATTCTTTTTTTAAAATATCTCTAGTTACCACAAACGGATGAAAAAAATACTTTTAATCTTCGACAAAAGTGTTTTTATAACAGTCTAATTCAGAGGCAGTAGTTTTTAATGTCAAGTGGAATTATAATCATAGTCATAGCGACCAACTGGTTTGTTGTGATGTGAACTAAACTAGAAGACACCGTTTATTTTGTCATAAATTGATATACACTGAAGAGAGAGAAATTTTATCTAATCCCCGAACTTCACTTTACAACTATCAAGAAATGTTTCAGTACGTAGGGAAAGAATATCACGTATAAATGTATGTGAGTTGTCTCACTGATTTAAGCGTTTGGCTTTTGACCATAAAATTCCGGATTCGAATTCTCCTTTACCTACTTCAGCCTAAGCGACTGAACAGTATCACCAGCCTTCCGAAGTGTGTGGCTCATGGTCGGGTACATGGAGAATCTTTGTCTCAGGTAACTGAATTCTAACATGACACCTTCACATATGTTATAGCCGTCAGGTGGTGTTGAAATTGAGTTTTTAGCCACTGATAACATGTCAAGCTACCTGCTATTTCACTTACTTATGCATCAATCTTTCTAGTCTTAATAAACGAAGAAGTCAGGAAACTAATATGCTAGTTGTACTACTGTTTTAAGGGTTAATTATTGAAAGAAAGATTTATTAACACTTGAGGCAGGCAGAATAAAAAAAAACCAGTTCTCCATATAAGTTTTATTAAAAGGTGGCCAAAATCCACTGAAGGTATGTAATTTTTTGTAAAAAATGAATTTTCATGAAAATCTATTTCTATCTGTTTATTTTGAAGACCGTGTAATTCAATTTTCGTCACTGCACGCCTTCCGAGGGGAACATGACGTTTTAAAATTGAGCTTTGAAGTTTCAATAACTGTCGTGGTTTTTAGTGAGTTCACCTCCTATCCTGATGCTCAAAATTCTCCCTTTTCCAGGCACACTACTGGTTAGTAGAGGTTTAGTAGTATGTTTGTTGGGAATCAAAGCCGGACGTCCCATGTGGTTGGTGATCATGCTACTATTCAGCCATCGACGCATTTATATTACAGCTTGGTAAAACTGAGGTCGTTTCTGAGATCCAAATCCTCATCACTCACTGTTGAAGTCACAAACGGTGCTACTGAGATATTCAGACTCCATGAAACTCAAAGCCTAACGGAAAATTGTAATAAATAGAGTTTGTCATAAAATCTAAGATTTATTTATTTTTTTAATATTTGTTTGCTGACACATATATAAATTCTTTTATTTTTCTATTGAAAGGAACTGAAAGTTAATAATTCACCGATACTTAGAATTAAAGAAACACTACCGTGTTTGAAAGAAGCATCTGAGTAAGATTTTAATATTATTTAAATAAAATATTAACGGAATTTTCAAGTATTAATTTTTGTAGGGATTTTTAGTTGGATTGGTTGGAGGATTTCATCATGAGCTGACATCAGTCAGAGAGCCATTGGAAAACCTGCAGTGAGTATTGGAAAGCTGTTTCGTCCTAGTTTGTGACTCTTCATCAGTGTGCATCCACCAGAGTTGGAACCCAGGACCTTCTGGTTACAAGACAAATTTCTGAAGAGTCCCAAACCAAGGCGAAACAACTGTCCAGTAGTCCAAGGTTTTCCAATGATTCTCTAACTGATATTAACGGAATTATTTACAATATCTTATTCAGATGGAAGATACCATAAAGATTAAGGCATTTTCCTTACCATCGTGATCAGTAGGAACGATAACTAATTTAAATGATTTTAATATTCGCGATATCAACATTTACGTCAGTAATCCTGACACCTGTAAGGAATAATAATAATAATACACATCAGTAGTGATAAGAATTCCAGTCTCAAAAAAAGTTATCACCTTGAAGTTTCGAATAAACTAAAAGAAACTTCTGTGCATTTCAATTAGCTAAGAATGGGTAACCAGCCTCATGTGTAATGAAGAAGATAGTGACAGTGATCCACGGACAATAGGAAGACTTTACTAAAGAAAAACCTAAAAACAAGTCGTTTACGCGTAAAAATGAAATACGGGAATAGAGATGACAGATGTCAGGGCTAAACACAACCCTTACCACGATTCTGGCATAAGATTCTAACAAACGTCAGGGTGAAGCTTATAGAATATAATCGATCTTAAAACCACTCATATATATGTATGTATTCTACCGAAAGTAACCACAGAAAATTTTATTCGATTTAGACTGAATGAATAAGTTTCTGTGTTGGAGAATACGATAAACAAATTAGTAATATGAATACGAAGGAATTCCGTAAAAATTAATAAACCACCATATTAGATGGTTGGAGGCAATCGGCCACAGGAAGCCTTGATCGACCTAGGTTTCGTACTAGTCGGCACTCACCACTCAGCAGGGCGTATCTGCAACCTTGACACGTCGCACTAGTTACTAGTGTCCAATCAAAAAACCCACCATATTGTTCACTTAGAGGATTTATTTTGCAAAAGGTCAGTATCAGTGTAAAATTGTTTACTTCATCAGTATTCACTTGGGGCATGCACAGGAATATTTTTCAAATAGTTTGGTTAGGCTGATCACTACTTTCTAAAAAGCTGGCAAAGCGTTATAAAGTGTTGACTGGCAGCGGTTTGTTTGACTTTAAGTTATGTAATGACTTCACATCACTTAGAGAACTATTGGAAACTGTTTTGTCCTAGTTTGGCACTGTGCAGTTTACTTACCCATACCCTCACGGAGGATCAAATCCATGAATTTTCGGGCTGCGAAGAGACCCCATGGATCATTCAGCCACTGGGACGGAATCCAACTGCCAGTGAATTCTAATTTTCGCCATTTCACAATATACAAAGGGTAACTGTCAGTTAGTGTCGTCGGAGAATATCTGCTCCTACACGAAACTTTGTGAGCCCCACTGATCACAACAAGATTTACATCATATATAAAACATCGGTATTCAGTCAGAATCAATGAAAATTTTAATAATAATAATAATTCGATTTATTCCAGAAACAGTACTAGTGGTACAGTGTGGAATTTTCAGCACTTATCTACAATATTGCATCTAATTTTATCAAACATTTAAAAGGAGTATTTCAAAAAATAAATATAAAAAACAACAACAAACCACAAAATGGCGAAAAACAAAATGCGAAAAAATAACAAAAAGGACAATGAAAAATAAACAACATAATAAATAATATCTCAGTAATGGGTAGTGGAATCTATGATATGTTTACGCGTGGTGAGCAGTAAAACTATAGCATACAAGAAGGTATGAAATGATATTAAGAATGTTTATAGCCAAGATGATCATTTAATTTGATTGAACAACACTAAACAATCATAAAACAAACATTTCAGATTTTTTTTATTGTCAGCTCTGTTGCGGTGTTTGTAGTCGTAGTGTGAGTAATCCTGCATAATACAAAATTTTTAAGATGGTAATAATAGCATTCACAACCAAGATTGTCAGTTAATATTAATGACAGGACAATTTTGTAATACTCATAGTGATAATATAGTCGGAACCAGTAGATACACAAAAGAAGGAATAGAGTAAACTACGAAATAAGTAAGCCAATGTTAATAATTTAGGTAGCTTAGTATGTTCAAGAAGGTGTTCATCATAGAATACAAATAAGAGAGAAAAATAAAAGAGCCAAAATTATGATATTAACAACAAAGCAGATCATAAGTTTCGCGCTTAACATTGTCTCTGTCACTTAGAACACGGGTTAAATATGGTATTATTGAGTTCCTATACTTGGTTGTACGAGCATATATTATTTTGTACTGATTTCTGTTTCTACCTGATGAGATACAAGGAGAGAGTTGGGAATAGAGGGGGTGCTGGGAATCGGAGAGTATGGTTTTAGACCATTTTTCGCATGTATTTAGATGCCTTTCTATTAATGAAGTGACGAGCTGACTGAATTTTACACCAGTGGTCCTACTAACTACCTTCAACATCCTTCTCAGGATGGTATAGTCCTTTTTCAGTAACCCAGGAAAGTCTAATGGGGAGCAGTAAAGTAGAATAGGTAAGATACGAGAGTTGACAAATTGTGAAAGTAGAGGTTAAGTGATTCCAGTTAGTCTGAGTTTTGTAACGTAGTAGGTTAGACAAAACACTTTCTAGGAAATTGTTTGGATATGAGATGACCAAGTAAGGTCGGAAGATAGAACTAATCCGAGGTATTTTGCGTTACACTTAGTTTCAATTTTAGTCCCCTCAATTCTACAGGCTTCATGAGTACTTACTATTGTTTGTAGATCTCGTTTATGCCTAAAGAAGAAGTCAATAGTCTGACATTTTGAGGGATTCGGCATAATACCATTTAGTTTAGACCACTGACTGATGTCAGACAGGAAGCTATTTCATTTGAAGCAGTCTGACTGAGACTTAACGGGAAACGAAACAGTCAGGTCATCTGCATATTTGACGAAGTTGATTTCGTCTGAGAGAGGTAAGTCATGTAAGAAGAAGGAAAAGAGAAACGGAGAGAGAACAGCACCCTGAGGAACACCAGCTTCAGTGAGCAAAGAAGAGGAAGATATACCCTTATATGCATCCTATTAGAGAAGTAGGAGTGCAGCCAGTTGATAGGCCAGGACTCAGTTTGTGTAAGGTTAAGCTTGTTTAACAAAAGGCCTCCAGGTACAGAATCGAAAGCAGATGTATAATCAAGGAACGTACAACGGACATACTTGGCCCCATTGTTTAAAGAGGATACAATATTGTTACCATAAATTGTTAGATGCCTTGAATCTCTTTTCCTTAGACAAGACAATACTGAGAAGTATCAAGATGGGATGATAATGTCAATAAACACAGTAAAATCATCGGTAGTCTAATCTCAAAATTCTTTGCCTCTTTATTATAAAATATGGTATTAACGAAGCTCAACTTTTATTGTCTTTTTGCGTATTCAGGGTGTCACTAGAATTAGTTATGAAAGAAATTAATCGATTCAGAAGCAGGTTAAAAAATATGAGTGAATATTTTAACCAAGATGCTTTTGAAGAACACTCACAAATCCATGATTTTATTGAAGTGAGTTTTCTTTGTTATACAACAATAATGTTATCTTACTTTTAATTTGATTGAAGATGCCCATTCGAAATTTTAAAACACTGATTATTGCACAAAGAATATTCTTTTCGATAACTTCTTCATCAGGTTCTAAAGTTTTATTCCATAATAATGAAAGAATAATTGGTAATGACAACATTAGCGGCTTTTAAAAGGTAACATCGAATCATTTAGATCAGAATTCCAAAAGTTATTTGCAGTTAGAGTGTTAACAGATCATAGTTCAAAATAGATGTGTATGTGGTATTAAGTACATTCTGCTATGAAATCACGTGTGAAGAGGAATCCCAAAACGGAACTGCACTCTTAGCTGTCTGCCTTACAAGAAAACCAGACGGCAGTATAAAGAAAAATTTACATAGGACAAGCACATGGACAGGACAATATACACATTTTTACAGCTTTGTTCCTCTCCAGTACAAAAGAAATTTAGTAAAGACCCTCAGCCACAGAGTTAGAGCTATATGCTCAGAAGATATAACTGAAGATGAACTAAGGAATGTGTACGATACACTGATTGGAAATAGATATCCAGACAAATTCATCAGGAAACACATAGCTAAGAGTGTTGAAAAGGACTACTCACTATCCGTAAACAAGAAGCTTTATACACACGACTGCAATTCAAGGGCGATATACCTAGCGATATAATTATGAAGAAGTTAATAATATCAGTTCAGAGAACTTTTGATGCTGGTGAACTACACGTCTTATTCTCTACATGACCTATAGCGATTCTTCGACTGAATTCATTCACTATAATGTATATATAACTGTTGAACTTGATGAACTTATCAAAAAGAGTATGCTTTTTTCAGTGAAAATTCTTTTGAAAATTTTAATGGACATTTTTAATCATTAAAAATTGTAATACTAAACTAAACACCAATATTACAAAGTAAATGTTTATGAATGACAACGAGAGTATGGTAATAAATCCTCATGAGTCACGTTCACATTAAGTTTCATTGATATTGATTATACACTTCAGATGGATGAATGATCATGTCAAGGGCGGGAGTAGGGAAAAAAAGATTTTTGGAGTTGAATTTTATGTGCGTTGTATGTATGTCAGTGTGAAAATTAATCACTACGTTTGAATAAGAAAACAAAAGGTTAATTTTCAAGTATTGGTTTTGTAGGGATTTTGTTTCATTGTATGGAGGATTTCACCATGAGCTGACATCAGTTAGAAAATTAATCTGATGCACACTAGCGACTGGCCCTATTCAGGCAGTTAACCTGGGGTTCTAGTGGGAAGCCGTGATCAGTAGGGTCCAGCAGGTCGCAGATGAAGCAGTAACTCATCGAAGAAGACCTTGCGAAGTGGTCGCGCTATGTCATGAACTGGCAGAAGTTAGAATTCAAGGACCATTTGATCGGGTCCCAGTGGTTCAATGGTCTACGAGCTCGCCTTGTAACCAGAAGGTCCTGGGTTCGAACCCTGGCGGTGGGCGCGTACTGATGAAGAGTCCCAAACTAGGACGAAACAGTTGTCCAGTACTCCCAGGTTTTCCAGTAGTTCTTTAACTGATGTCAGCTCATGGTGAAATCCTCCATACAAACAAAAGTTTAGTCATTGCAAGTGTAATGGCAAGGGGTAGGGGAATATATATGTACAAGATAGAGACCCATATGAAAAAGGCTGGTGTAATAAGGTATTTATGAATTTGTAGACTCCACAGAAGGCTTAGGCAGTAATATTGGTTGAACCTGTATCTTCTGTACACAGAGCACTTGTTGTTCTTGGCGAATTGTAATAGCCTCTGCTGTTTGAAATATTCGGTACCTTGATGTTTTTGGCAGTTTATTTGGTACCCGGTGGATGGTAGAAAAAGATTCTTCAATGCTGGCTTTGTGGCAGGTTTGGACCAGGGAGTCTAATATCAAACTTTTTATTACCTAAAACAATTTAACAATGGACGCAAATAGTGAAACTAACAAAATTAGTCAGCTGTAGTTTGTATCAGGCAAAGATGATTTAGAAGGCGAACTTCTGTGTAAAAAGCAGGCTAGAATACACTCATTTCGTACAACAGGAGATATTTAGCTGATAATTAAGCCGACCGCTACTCTATCCAGTCCAATGAAATCCAATTTATTTATGATTTCTACTCACTCATTATTTACATCTCTCAAATCTACCTAGTAACTAACTCCGTGTGGCGGGAAGTATTTCTCTCCTTATTGTTCCCAAGTTATATCTGATTACTAGTTTTACAATGGGTATTTAACGATCTACGCAAAATGAGCAACAGTCAATACAAAAAAAAGATTCATTAACAATTCAGGTTTTGATGAAAATTAAGATGTTTGGACAACTAATATTAAACTGAACACTTTTACGGAAATATCTGGACAGTGGTTGAGTTTGAGGTAGAAGTAAATGAATTTGTATGAATAATACCAGCAGTAAATCATTACACTTCTGTAGAAATACAACTAAGCTCTTAGGGAATGAGCTGTTACTTCTGAATTCTATATTAAATAAATGTATTTGATATAACACACAGTGACACAGTATTGATAAATGAATGACATTTCGGGTACAGTTCATTCCTCATAACCATATCGACTACTACGGGTTGCCACCAACAATTATACATTTCAAGTATTGGTTTTGTAGGGATTTTGTTTGATTGCATGGAGGATTTAATCATGAGCTGACATCAGTTAGAGAACCACTGGAAAACCTGAGAGTACTGGACAACTGTTTCTTCCTGGTTTGAGACTCTTCATCAGTACGCGCCCACCGCCAGGGTTCGAACCCAGGACCTTCTGGTTACAAGGCGAGCTCGTAGACCATTGAGCCACTGGGACCCGAACCAATGGTCCTTGAATTCTAACTTCTGCCAATTCACGACATAGCGCGACCACTTCGCAAGATCTTCTCCGATGAGTTACTGCCTCATCTTCAACCCAGGTTTTCCAGTGCTTCTCTAACTGATGTCAGCTCATGATTAAATCCTCCATGCAATTATACATTTCATCCAACAGTTGTACGACAATGCTGAATGCCAAGTAATCCACAATGGGAAACTCACAGGATCCTTCGAAGTGAAGACGGAAGTTGGACAAGGATGGCTGGCTGCCTACTATCTCCAATGATTTTCCTGATTGTGGTAAACTGGATAATACGACAGAGAGTAGCGGGCATCGAGGAAACAGGCATAAAATGGACGCAGACAAAAAATGACTTGGAGCATCTGGACTTCGCTGACGATATTTGTCTGATTTCCCACAAACTGGAAGATATGCAAGTGATAAGCAACAAGTTGACAGAAGCATCAAAGATAGGCCTTCAAGTGAACACAGAGAAGGTGCCGACAGAGTTCATTACGGTTCCTCGCCAACAGCAACAGCAACAACAGTAGACAACAGACAAAAATCGGCATAAATGGAAGAAATCTGAAAGAAGCAACCTCCTTTACCTACCGACCTGAGGAGCATCGTTTCAGTTACAGGTGCACGAAACTGATGAGGATATCGAGGTGAGGATCGGGAAAGCAAGGCAAGCTTTCCTTAATCTCAAGTCTGTGTGGAGATCAACAGCAGTCCTCAGCATGAAAATGAAAATAAGATCCGGATTTTAAACTCCAATATGAACTCAGTGCTACTTACTATATGGATTAGAGTCTTAGCCAGGTGGTCATGAAGATCACCTCAAACAAACTATAGACATTCATCAACATCTGTCTTCGCTCAATACCACTTAAGATCAGATGGCCGGTAAGAAAACATCAGCAACAGGGATCTCTGGGAATGAGCGAACCAATCAACCAGGAACCAAGTGTGCACTAAATCTGCAGGAAGAAATGGAGATGGACTGGCCATACTCTGAGAAAACAAACCATCAGCTGACATCGCACGACAGATCATCGCTCGAGTGGAACCCGAATGGGAAGCGGCTAGTTGGTCGTCGGTGCAAGGGTGGGGTGACATGGAGGAGGTCATGTGAAGAGGAGATGAAAGCATGTGGGCAGACGTGTAGCCAAGTGAAAACGTTGGCAGAGAACCGAACGCAATGGAGACGTGCAGCTGAAGCCTTATGTTCCTCTAGGACCTAAAGAAAATAATAATATATCGACTTCTTCACATGGTTCCACAATTTATTTTATATATTTGTCCCCTCTCCTTGGTGTTTAGTGCGATTTCCCATATATGCAGTATAGGAGTTGCATTTGTTTGGTGCACTAAACATATCCAATAGAAGTGACGAAATGTGCATCAGTGATTCAATAGCAGAATTACTCGTCAACCACTCACTTGGTCCAGGGTTCAAACCTTGACCAACTTGCTCCTAAACCTCGTTCAGCTGGTAGGAGGCCCGTTAAAGAGTCAAAGCTGAGCGTGAGGCCAGCAACCCCATCTCGTAAAAATAAACACCACTGCTACTGAAACTTCAAAGCTCAGACTTGAAGACCCATGTTCCTTTCGGAAAGTAAAGGAATAAAATTATTAGTAAATCAGCAGTAAATTGTTTTCGAAATATCATGCAGTTAATATATACTTCACCAATGTGCATTATATCCAATAAACCTATCTATAATATGGAATTATATTCTATCACAATGGTTAAATTCTCCTTTTACATTATTTCCAAAGTTAAGCATACACCCTAGTAATTACATTCATCGTTATGATCCAAATAATCATTCTTTAAACTAAATTTAACTTTATCAACTATTAGAAGTTTAGTTTGTAAAGATTAGAATTGTTTATACGAATGTGACCGCGGATTGATATCAGTTAGAGAGCCAATTAAAACCAGGGAGTACTGTACAGCTGTTTCATCCCAGTTTGGGACTCATTGGCAGTACGCACCAACCAGGGATCGAACCCAAGACCTTCCGGCTACAAGGCAAGCTCGTATGCGATTCAGCCAGTGAGACACGATTCAATGACCAGCCCATGAATTCTAACTGCTACTAATGCGTGATTTAGCGCAACGCCAAACAATGTCATCTGTGGGAACTCTATCGTCACTCCCAACTGGATGGACCTCACTGGTCACGACTTCTCACAAGAACTCCAGGCGACTTCGTCCTGTAGCAAGTTACTAGCGAGCATCAGATTAATTTTCATGAGTTTGGTTTGTAAGGATTGGATTTGTTTATACTATATATATACTACAAAACATTTTCATACCAAAGAATTTCCAAAAATTAATAACAAGTAGAAGTGAATTAAAAAAAGATCACAACGATAGATAACAATAAAATAAGAATAAAGTAAAACCCATCTTCTTTAAAAGTTGTAGAAAATACTGTTCTGTGATGGTTTCAAGCCAAGGAAGGCATGAAGAATCGATAGCTATATATATATATATTACACTATTGTAATTTATTTAGCACAGAAGACTTTTTAAAATCACTTGATTCTTAATAATAATAATCACCTCATTACAAATAATAATACAAAACAAACACTTACACTGGTGCCATTACCAGGCATCTCCTTGATCGTTGTCATGCGGTGGAAATCGCAAATTCCTTTAAGTTTATCAGTAGACAAGAAAGCTCAATTCTCCTAAAGTTTTCTGAAGTAATCTCTATCAAATGCCTGAAACCCAGTCAGTGTGTTCTGAAAGAAGCAGTCATCAGTGTTTTTTTGTTCTCTCTTTCGCCTGATTACGTAATCTTAGACTTTAACCCTACCCACCCCACCAATTTGTCGTAGTGTACTTTTGTTTGTCTCTTGTTTCAATGATTTCAGCTGAACTCAACACACTGTTACCCAATTTATTTGTTACTCATCATCTCACGCATCTCTCATCTCTACAACGTAACTCCTTTGTCATTGTATGCACACATGTACTTGAATTGCCTGCGTAAAACTATATAATTGTAATTTTCTGAGCACTATTCACTGAGTCCAGATACTCCGTCAACTGACATCATTTGAAATTTGCAAGTATACTAAAACTTTTCTGTACATAAACTTAATAATTTCTTTGGGATCTAAGCAAGCAGCTGATGAAAAGCCAATGAAATACACAATGATGTTACCATATTATTCTGCACAAAACACTGATGTTCTTGCTTTATTCCAAACAATAATAATTATACAGAATGGAATTTTCAGCGTCTTTAATACATTTTGAAACAATTTATCTCCTTTCATTGATATGTAAATAAAATTTAGAATAATAATTAAAATATTATTAATGAAGCCACTATAAACAGAGTGTTGGTGGAAAAATAATAAATTAAAAATAAATAATATCACAGATAATGCATTTAATAATAATAATCTTTGCTTATGCTTTGCAGTTCAGATTACTAACTTAAAAAGTTCATAAGTTCTTCTCTGACATCTGACTCTCTCTTTTCACACACAACCACCCCTGCTAAATAGGGTATGGTTGAATTTTTCTATTTTGTTGTACGAGCATAAATTCTTATGAAACCTCTAATGGTTTTATCCGAAGAGGTGGGAGGAGAGAGTTGCGAATAAAACGGATGTTTGGTATCAGACAAGATAACTTTAGCCAACTGTTTGCAAGAATTGAATTGAAGTGCCTATTGACAATAATGTCAGTTAGTTGAGTTAAAGTGGTGTCGGCGACATAGCGGTTAGGACGCTCACCGACCATGCACATGGTCCGGGGTTCGATCCTCGACCACCGAGACACTCTTTTACCTCGATAAGCCATAAATAATGCTGGTAATGAGGAAAGGTTGGGCATGAGGCTAGCAACCCCGTCCTGTAAAAATAAACACTGCTACAGAAACTTCAAGCCACTAGCTTGAAGCCCTATGGTCCACTGGGAACGTGAAGGAAAAATTATTACTATTATCAGTAGCTGAGTTAAAGGTACACCACTAACCCTACTTACAAAAGAGACTGAGTTATGTCAGGAAGTCTCAACTTGTTTATATAATAAGTCAAACGAAAAATTTTGTTAGAAATCAACAGGATATGGGACGACCAACAGATATCTGAAGAGAAACTGACACCGAGATAAGAGATCTTTGCTTTACTCCCTATCACACTGCCGCCAATATTAAAGGAATCACGGGACTGAATCAGTCCACGCAAGTCTTTTTCGCATTTGAAACTATAATCAACAATATGACATTTGGATGGATTCAGTTTAAAACCATTTGGGTGAAACCATTTCTTAACTTTAGATAAGAGTCTATTCATGTAAGAACAATATCAAGCAGAAACTACTGGACAGAAATCGTTAGGTCATCGGCATATTTAATGAGGTTAGCTTTTGAAAAATATGGAAGGTCATCCAAAAAGAAAGAAAAAAGGAATTGAAAGATTATAGCGCACTGAGGCAAACCAGTTTCCATTAGCAAAGAAGTGGAGCGCTTTACATTCAAAACGGTGTGTTGTTTTCTACCCGAAAAATAAGAAAACAGCCACCTGGTGACCCAGTGTTTGCTGAAATCAGCTGGCTTGGTTAAATCGTAGTGCAGAAAGGAGGCTTGAACAAACTTTGCACCTTTATCAAACTTGAAACAATATTTTGAAGACATGGACCTCAACAGTTGTCATTCCATATAGAGCGGAGACGTCAAACAATATCAGAAGAGTACTCAATAAGCACAACAGAGTTTTCTTCAAAACATCAAACACACTACAAAGCAACCCTGTCCATATAAAAGACCAAATCCCTAAAGAATCTCTGTCTAATTGTGTCTATAAAATAAAATACCTGCTCGGAATGTGATGCGATATACATTTGACAAACATCGTGAGAAATCAAATTCAGAAGAAATGAGCACGGTGGATGCACCTCTGTTCGACCAACAAGAAATCCAGCTGAACTAGAAAACCCAGAAAAATCATTAGCCATATATCTTCTACACGCTATAGAATCAGGTCACAAAATTGATTTTGACAATATTGAAATAATCGAGAAAAATTTAAGAAATCACAAAGAACGTCTCACATCATCAGAAGCACTTCATATCAAATAGAATCCAAACTGTCTGAATGGAAATGATGGACCAAAACAGAATTTGACCTGGTTATAATACTCCCCACCTCCCTCATGAAATGGCGAAATCAAGACGAATATGATAAGTGATTTCATTATGTAATCACATTCTGCTTTTATAATTTTATACACTTATCAAATCCAACAATCTACACCTGGTTTTGTTATCTGTACTAATTGGCCAACTTGAAAACAACGTAAAAGTTACCCCATATCGATGAAGGATAATTAAGTTGTTATATTTAGATTTAGTAAATTCTGATTTAATAAAACTTTTATAAAGCAATTATTAGCACTAAACAGCGAAACATCAGTAAAAACAATATTGTTTTATTTCTCATCCATTGAGAAATACAAAAACTTTTATAATAATGAATATTGTGATGGGATACAATGCCAGTACAACTACAGCAGCGGGCAAATAAATTAAAGTTCCATATTTATTTATCCAAAAGTGTAGATACCCGGTCAAAATCACTTTTTAACTTATTTATAGTCAAACAGTATATGGTTGAAGACTGCACAAGAGGAATAAATTCGTGCATCTGAAAATATATAATTGGTATCTCCATATACCCAAATTATGTACACCTTATCTTCGACGAACCATTTTGTACAGATCTCCCGCGTTGGGCTACCTCTGACCTTCATATTGTTTTTCTTTGTGTTTCTTTTCACATCTCCTATGTATCTACTCAACTCTCTATCATATGCTTTCTCTGATATCAAATCTATCTCCTTACTATTTGATATTTTTATGCCGATGAACGTCTCTTTATATACTACTGATAAACCTTATCAGTAGCACTTGCCACAATATAACTTCATTCTAATCAATCAGACAGCCTTTTATTTATTGGAGTATATTTTAATCATATTTCTGTTTATAGTGAATGTGCTCTTCATTGAAAGTACAACTCAGTTCTAACGAAAATAAAATTTTTACATACCGTAATTCAAAGAAAAAATAATCTAAATGTGTATATTAATATTTTAGACATCTAATAAAGAATTAAATGAAGTAAAAATACAACTGGAAAAAGTTCAGGAAATAGAGAAAAGTTGTGCACATTACTTTTGTGAGTGTCCAACACAGTTTAGAATTACGGAATGTCTACAAACTTTTAACCAATTTTTGAAAAGATGAAGTCTACTGAACAAGTAAGTTACTAACCTATATGACGATAAAATGTAAATAATATACGGAAATATATAACATAATTTTGATGTGTAAGAGTCGAATACTGTTGATAAAGACTAACATCTGCTTAAAGAAGGAATTTTCGGTGCATGCTAAAATATCAGATAATTTGAGAATTCCTTCGACACTAAGGTGTCCAAACCTGTATAAACTTCATCCAACGCCCTATACGACAATGCCACATAGCAAGCGATTCGTAGTGGAAAACTAACCGAAGCTTATAAAGTATGACAAAGCTGCCCGGTACCATTGATGATATTCCTGACTGTGGTAGATTGAATCATACAACATACCATAGGGAGCGTGAAGATGGGGATACGTTGGACCAACGAGAAGACACTGAAAGATGCTTTGCGTCTAATGTCACACAAGTGTGAAAATCTACAGATAAAAACCGACAAGTTGACAGAAAAAGCAGAGAAAAGAAGACTTCAAGTGAACATAGAGAAGATAAAGGTGGTGCTCATACCTAACTAAAACCAACAGGCACCAGTTACTATCAACCGGAGGTCCAATCAACAAATACCAACAAATAATAGATGTCCAAAAAGTAAAACTAGAGAAAACCCGCAACCACGAACACCTGTCAATGCTGATCACCGCAATTACATTGTCAAGTAGGGAAACACAGAGAACAAAGACGAAGAGTCCTCAAAATCAAGCTAGCCAAGATCACAAAACAGCAACCAGACAATACACCTATTGACTGCGTAGTCAACCTATTAAAACAACCACTATCAAAAATGGAACAACAACTACTACAAAAAGGATTAAACTACAACACCGGAGATGCTTCAAAAACTGATTTCTTCGCTGCCCTTGAATCATTACTCAAATCATCAAACTTGAACGAGGAAACACATGAAGAGATACGCCAAACAATTGTACCAATGGTCAAACAGAAAAAACAACACACACAACTCAACTCTCAAGAACTAAAGGCCCTCAAAAAGCTGAAAAATAGGAAGGACATCGTCATTTTACCAGCCGACAAAGGAAGAACAACAGTAGTCATGGACAGAGAAGAATACACCAAGAAAGCTGAAGAACTACTCAAAGATGAAGATGTATATCAACAACTCCCAACAAATCCCATACAAACATTGGACAACCGCATCCAAAGGACCTTAAACAAGCTCACCAAAACTGGACAGATCACAAAACAAGACCAATGGCGAATGAAATCCAATGGACCAGTCCTACCTCGATTCTACGGCGGACCCAAAATACACAAGGCAAATATCCCGTTACGACCAATTGTATCACTCCCAGGAACTCCAACATATAATTTATCCTAAGAATTATACAGAAAACTAAAACACCTAACGGAATCTTGTGATCACTCCATCAACTCTGCTATCCAATTCCTAAAGAAAATCAGAGGTATCCAAATAGATGAACAAGAAATAATGGTATCCTTCGACGTGACAGCATTATATACCTCCATCGGACAAAAACCAGCAAAAGAAACCATGGAGCAATTACTTAGCAACGACGAACAACTTCCACAACAATCAAAAATGCAACACACAAGCTGGATGGAATGCATAAATCTATGCCTAACAACATACTTCCAATTCAACGGCCAAATATATGAACAAGTCAAAGGAACACCCATGGGATCGCCAATATCAGGTTTGATTGCAGAAGCAGTGATGCAAAGACTCGAAAACATAATTCTACCAAAGATCAAACCCAAGATTTGGATACGCTACGTCGACGACACATTTTTAGTAATCAAAAGAAACGAATTAGATAAAACTCACAACTTAATAAACAACGTCTTCAACGACATCAAATTCACAAGAGAAGAGGAATCCGAGAACAAAATACCATTTTTGGACGTCTTAGTCAGGCGAACAACTACAGAGGAATTAGAAACTCAAGTTTATAGAAAATCAACTCACACAGACCAAATACTGAATTACAACAGCAACAACCCAATAATACACAAAAGGAATTGCATACAAACACTATTCAAGAGGGCAAGAACTAAGTGCAGCACTCCCACCTTAAGGAAAATTGAAGAAAAGTATCTCATGGACGTCTTCCAAAAGAATGGATATTCACGGAATTTCATCAAGAGACATATACCCCCAAGCCAATCTATTAAACCAAAAGCCCCCAAGGAAAGCACAAAGAAAATCGCCTTACCAATATATAAAGGATATCTCAGAAATCACTACAAGACTCTTCAAACCTTTAGGAATTGACGTCGTACACAAACCAACAAAGTCGCTTCACTCAATTCTATGTCAACCAAAAGACTCAACAGCGAAAGAAAATAAAACCAACATCATCTACAAAATAAATTGTAACAACTGCGAAAAACACTACATTGGCCAAAGTGGACGTCCCCTTCGTCTTCGTATCCACGAACATAAGCTAACCGTGAAAAGACATGATGTCCACTCCCTCATATCACCACATACAGACAACCACGGACATCAATTCGACTGGGACGAACAACGTTCAAATATTAGACGGAGGAAGCAACAAGAATGCTAGAGAATTTTCGGAAGCCCGGTATTCCAGTGTATCATCAATCAGTAGACACATCGAGATAGACAAAATTTATCAACCGATAAGAAGGAAACCTCACACACACAAAAGGATCAAAGTTCAAGTCAAAGAAACAATCAGTTCCAATACAAATAACGTTGAAGGTGTGAAAACACACAAAAACAACCAATCACGTCCAAGGTCACCAGGAGAGATGAATAATAAACTCGTGGAGAAATCTAAAATGTTCACTTCAAAATGAAGTATGCGCTGAAGATGTCGCCTAGTATGGTGATGAAAGCTTCGCAATTGACTATCCAGCTCAGACAACACAACCACATCAAAATCATCCACCTGAGCTACAAATCTTCTCCATTATATCGAAATCTGATTCCTTCACTTTTTATTATAATCAAAGGTTTCAGGTATAATAAAAGCTTCTTCACTGCATAGTTCATTTCGTTTTAACATAGATTCTTGTTTTTCTAACTTGACATATTCAATGCGAAGCATTCACTGTTATGACGGGAACTACTATGTAGTAGACTATGAGCGAATGATAACTTAATGCGCTGGCTATTCTGAACTAATCACACGTCAACAAAAAGACAATAACATCATCGGTGGACAAAGAAAAAAAGAAAAAAGTTGGACGTCGATAAGAGAGGTTTTACTGTCTCAAACAAGAGTCAAAATTCTAGACAGAAACTCTGCATATACAGTTTCAATGACCTTGAAATGCAGTATTCCATTGGTGTATTAAAAATATTAGCAGCCAATAGGAATGCAGCAATCCCAACAGAGAGAAAAACAAATGACTCATGCTAGCGCGCGATAACTCCTTAAAATTGTTATTTTAATGTTTCAGGCTAAACTAGTTGTATATAACATTCATCTACAAACTGAACATAAGCTTCGTTGTAATTAGTACGTCTTCAATTGGCGAACCGATACTTATCGTTGTAAACGCTGAAGTAACTAAAGGCCTAATTGATTTAACTTTATTTCTAACTTTGTATACTTCATAAACTGAGAACGAGTTTATCATTCAACAATTTATTTAAATTTTCAAATTAAATGTTGATCCTTGTGATGATGCTTATTTTATCTCATTTTAGGAAATAAGTGAATACGAGTCATTGCATAAAGAAAGAACAGATAAAGTGAACAAAGTTGAAGCATCACTTACAGGATGTAAGATGGTATTATGTTTAGAATCAATAATACTGATTATAATGTTTTTACTCGAATAATGGTTAACCGCTCTTTTTCTAGAACATAATAAACAAACAGCCAAGTTAAACTTTAAGCACCACCAACTGCCAATGCAGTGCGACCGCCATAATGACCTTGAAACATTCACTGGCAAATGATGTTGTCATCATCAATAAAATATGCTCATCTAAGTGTTATGCTATCAAATGGGGTTTCTGGCAAGTCTTAGCTTAGGTTTGGGAAAGATTAACTTACGCTTTAAGCCATGGACAAGTGAGGTTTAGGTTAGCCTAATAAAGGCGACATTAGGATTGGTTCGAGTTAGACTACAGTTAGTTAAGGAGTATTTTCACGTTATGGTTAGGTTCAGGAAAGATTAAGGTGATTGTTAGTGTTAGAAGACCTAGATAAATACATGCATAGAATGTGGTTAAATTACTCTGTTGATATAAGAATAGAACTTGTGGACTGTGGTAGAGTGTAATTCCAATGTGGGTAAAATCTATTTTGATAAATTCTCACAATATTATACAGTAAAATTTACTGATGACATTTCGAGCACAGTTTATTGCCCTGTAAATATTACTGTATTACACTATGAGACTATCAAAATAAATTTTACCTACAATGGGATTATACTCTGTTGACACTCCGACCTAAAACTGATAGCTATTTTTTTTTTTGAAATGTGAGAGCAAGGTATCATCTGTAAAACTTTTATGCAGTTTTTATGCATCTTTTTCATAAATATGTGTATTCCATACACAAAAATGCTTCCTTCCTGTGATTGGTGCGTTCGAGGTCATTCGCTGATTGATAGTTATCGGTGCTTAAAGTTTAACTTTTCCAGAGAAACTTAATATTGCTTCTCTTAAGCACTGAAATGAATTTTCTTAACATATTTTATAAAATTTTAATGATTCACATCTAATTCTTACCTTAAATAGTTTAGGCTAGAATAGAGCATGTCACATAAATATGCTCAGTGCACGTGATCTAGATATTGAATTCAGTAAATAGTGGTGATAAACGAACAGTTATGTTTTTTCACATGTCAGCTGAGGCTAACCATCAGTGAAATTTTGGTGCGAGCTGTCTGCTAGCCAAAATTATAGACATCAACTGACTTCACTGTTTACGTCCCAAATTTTGGTCATGAGAAAAAAACAAGATCAAAGCCTAACCTTGAGGAACCAGTCACAGCATACTTAGCGTGGGTGGATACGATTCGCAAAAAGATTACCGGACTGTCTAAGAAACAGACACAAAGAGATGACAGAATAATCTTCAGCAGGAAAACAAAAAATGAGATGCTGCTTCTCTGCTAACAATAACGAATAATAATGTACATAAAAATCTATAAAAATCTGTTGATTTTCTCGATAAACGATCTGTAGCCTGGCCCATATCTTCCGTCGTTACAAAATCATAACCTGGTTAGCACTTAGGTCTCATAACTCAACCGGCAGAGCGCCAGGTTAATAAGTCAGAGGCTACTGCTGTGACCTTAATTCACATTTAATTTCCTATAATTTGAAAAATGTATAACGTTATTGTAAAACAAGTGTTCAGCATTCATTATTTCCAACCCACTTCAAAAACCTTTAATACAATCGAACCATGTACCATAAATAAAAGTCATTGTGTTGCATCTAAACGCTGAGCTACTTTCAGAAATTTACGACGTATTTAAATGGATAGCAAAACGGACTCATTCTTGGCTTACTTCTTCTCGACATGTTTTGTTTTCTCTCCTTCTTAGTGTTCCAAGTGGAACAAAGAACTTCAATGATTTCTTTTGAGAACTTCCAGAAGTAGTAATGTTGTTTTTAAGACTGCGGTTGCTAGCCACTCAGGAAACCTCCTCTCTTTCCCATGCTTACCATCAGATAGTATACTGGGTAAAATCTAGGAGTCCCTCAGCTGGAAACAGAATCCCAGACCACATGGGTGGTTGGTGAACATTCTCACTAATGAACCATTAAAGCACATCCCTAGTTATATGGAATAGAGAATTGTTGATGAACTAAAAGTCAATCAATTATTTCACTTTAACTGTTTATAATCAATACGACAATTCAAAAACCGATTCATTATAGTTCGCTGGTATTCACATTTTAGACTCTAAAAGTGATGAAAGACACAATCGACCAATGGATAATATCAAACAGTCAAATCAAGATGCGCATAACATGATGATTGAATTAATTTCAAAAAATCTGTCACATCCAAGAATAGTTCATAGTCAACCAAGAAGTAGATTTAAAAGCAATAAATTGAGTTTATCAACATCAACAAATTCATTGTCTAAACTTTTATCAGAAGACAACAATACAACATTGAATCAAGGAAGAAATTATACAAGTCAGCTGAATATTGCATCAAAATCTGTTAACATTCCGAATGGTTCATCTCTATTCGAAGTAAGTATATAATGTATTCGAATAACAAAAACATCTGATGAAATAGGATTCGCTATCGCAATACTGAGGTGAATGTAGTGAATCTGAACTTATGATCGATCAAGTTGCTAATAGTTACGATTCCAAGTTACAGCTATACTTCGAATTTTCTCGAGTGTTACGCCATCCAGAAGACTAATAATATGGAAATTGACATGAGATGATTTTCTAAGCACAAAGAAATCAACAATTAACTATACACTCTGAAGACATACCTAGTGTGGTGACTGGTAACTAGTAGTGGAATTCAGGATGCGCCTTTAATCCTATTTGGGGCTGGTCAGCTGGGGGTACTAGAAAACTTCAGTTTTCTTTTATTCCTTTACGTTCGCAGTAGGGTATAGGGCGGCTTCAAGCTAAAGGCTTGAAGTCTCGGTAGTAGTGGTGATTATTTTTACAGGAAGGGGTTGCTAGCCTCATGCTCAACCTTACTAATGACTTATCGAGGTAAAGGTGTGCGTCGGTGGCCGGGAATCGAAACCCAGACCACCTGGGTGGTCAGCGAGCCACCGACTCACAGAAGACTTCAGTGAGTGGTGGTATTTCCGTCTTTCATTTTAAACGCCAAGGCGTTAACCACTGAAACAACATGAGCCACCCCCTGTACAGCAGGCATCAGTTATTGTTCGTTTTAAACCAAATTACTCCATGTTAACACTCAGACATCGTCAAGGTGTCTGTACTAGGAGACACGTCAACAGAGGCCGAACACTTCAGCCCAATCAATCAACCTGAAAATCAAAAATTGACTACAAAACATATCTGCCTTATCGGTATTGGCACACTCTTGCACCATGTTCAGTAAAGGCCCATGTTTTATTTCTGTATATAACTATTTTCTTCAAATGACTTAATAACGTCAATAAGCCAATCAAACTTCAGGAAAGCATAGTCTTTCTACAAGGAGAGCAGAATTCACCACTACACCTCAAAATATAATCAGAATTACTTAATGGACAGCTGCTGTTTCATCCTAGTTTGGGAATCATCGGCAGTAGGCACCCACCACCAAGATTCAAACCCAGGACTTTCCGGTTACAAGGCAAGCTCGTATACCATTCAGCCACTGAGACCCGATTCAATGTTAGAAGTTAGAATTCACAAGCCATTGAATCGGTTCCCAGTGGCTGAATGGTGTACGAGCTTGCCTTGTAGCCGGAAGGTCCTGGCTTTAAATCTTGGTGGTGGGTGCCTACTGCCGATGATTCCCAAACTAGGATGAAACAGCAGCTTCCCAGTACCCCCTGTAGCTGGTTTTCAACGGTTCTCTAACTGATATCAGTCCGTGATCAACTCGTAAAAGCATAACTAACCCTTACAAACCAAACTATAGAAAAAGAATTTAATTTCTGAGGGTCAATAAAAGAAACCTAATTCCACTCTATAAAGACATAAAATAAATATCAACACTGTGTTTCAACCATCAGAGATACAGTAGGTGATTGGAATATACTTTCTGTTTTATTCGGATTCTGAGGAACCATTATAAGGGAAGTATATTTTCCTTTACATAGTACCAATTTCTGTTATACACTGGATTTTCTTTTGAGAAATAAATTACAAAATGCATTTAGAAGAAGCTGAACATATCTAAAGAGGATATACGCAGTTCTAAATAAGTTTTGAAGATTCTATAATATCAAACAAAGACCTGTTTGACAAAAGGATAAAAATAATCGACGTATTGTATTAAATACTCTCTTTGCTGACGGAAGAGTTCATTTAATTCCATGTTTTGGGAAGACCTGAGAGTCGATGCAAATTTCCTGATGGTCCACACAAGTGGATTCACAGGAAATGTGCAATAAACGCTCTTACAAATGTATTTACTCAGTTAGAAAGCCTTTTTTATATTATAGGTTGACTTCACACCGTGTTTTCGATACAAGTATGGAATTTTCAGTATGTGATATCGATAGGCCAAATTTAGCAGTCCAAACATAGATAGATATCAGGTGTGCGTCAGCAGGGGATCGAACCTCGGACCATATTCATTGTCAGCAAGAGTCCTAACCACTGTGCTACCGACGCATTTATACCGAAACATATATAGTAACTCACATTCTAACTTTGGAGGTTTGTCAGAACGCACTACTTAGGCAAACATAGATATGCAAGAAGACAACGCAGCAAAACGCATCTCTTTTTATTCATGCAATCGAAATGATTTTAAGCTAATAAGTATACATGAGATAGGAAAGAGGTTAACTGAACAAAGATTTGCGGTTTCCTACATATATACCTAAAATCACATCATCCACTGTAGGACACCTAAAGATATGGCCTTATTACTCTCGTAGATTATTAATGTTTTGTATATCTCCGGCTTTACTCGATGAATCCCAGCAAATAATGTGTAGCAGAAATTATATTTGTGACCACTACCTTTATTCCCTGAACTTAATGATTTTTTTAAAGTAAATCCATATATGCATTTTCCTTGCTAAGGTATTTACTTCCTGCAACTGAATTGGTACTACAGTTCAGTTTTCATATCTAAAATAACTCCACCGGTCAAGATTTTATAGTTTACACTAGAGTAGGTAATTTATCATGCGTCAGTGGCACAGGGGTAGAATGCTCGCTGACCACGCTTCACGTGGTCCAGTGTTCCATCCCCGACCACTGACGCACTCCCTTACCTCGATAAGCCAGTAGTAAGACTGGTAAAGAGGGGAGGCTGGGCATGAGTATAGCAACCCCTTCCTGTAAAAATCAACACCACTGCTACATAAACTTCAAGCCTCTATCTTGAAGCCTTATGTTCCGCTGGGAACGTACGTTCAGAAAAGTTTGAACATACTTGCAAATTTTACATGTTGTCAGTTGACAGAAAGTTCCACAATTGGTAAACAGTTCTCAGAAAATTGCGCTTGTATAGTTTTTACAAAGGCAGTTCAAGTTTAAACAAAATAAATCTATGCATACAATGGTAAAGGAGTTACGTAATAAAGACGAAATATGCGTTAGATGCAGGGTGACTAATAAACTAGGTAACAATGTACTGAGTTCAACTCAAATCATAGAAACAAGAGACAAACGAAATTACAGATTTTAAAAGGAGGGTGAGGTTGAAGACAAAGATTGCGTAATCAGATGAGAGAATAAAGACATCCAGTTACTAGGCAGGGCAAGAAAAGACTAATAACTGCTTCCTTCTGAACACATAAATCTGGTTTCAAGCGTTTGATGGAGCTCCTTTGTCTATTGATAATTTTGAAGGATTTCTCGATTTCCACCTCATGACCCGTGTCGAGGAGATGTATGGTAATAGCGCTATACTATAAGAGTTTGTTCCCTCGAGACGTAGGCTTTTCGGCACATGATCAGAAAATCGGAGGTGTGCCCTTCTTTCTGTTCTCCCAATGTAACTGCTCCCTCAGATACACGTAAATTTGTATACACAGTTGGAGTTAACATGAGAAGGTTATCTATCGAATTTTGACTGTAACAAAGTGCATGTTGTTCAATGGACGGGAACCAACTTAGCTGGCTGCAGGATAGGCTATGGCTGGTGACGTTCTCAGTCTTCTGTTGACCATTTCTGCAATGTTTTCATCTTTAAAATCTAGTTGAATGAAGACAGGCTTTTTTTCAACAGTGATTTGTTTGGTATTTTAGCCTTCACATCTTCTATATTTGTTAATGAATCTTTGAGGATAACCGTTGTTTTTCAGCACAAACCACTGTTGTTCTTGCTTCATTCAAATTCATCAAGGGGAATAAATACACTTAATTTAAACGCACGACAATAAATGATACAGAAACCCTAAAGACTATGATTACCACAAACTTGAAGTGTTGTCAAATGCAAACAAATAGTGGTCCCACATATAAATATGCTATATTCTTTATTTATACTAACCATTATCATTTAATAAACTTTACACATTTTCTTATTAGCAATATCCAGGGACAAACTCAGACGTGATAAACAACAGCAATACTACAAATATAAGATCACGTCAATCATCAGGAATTGGACAAAAACTCCGCATAAACTCGAAATTTCAAACAATGAATGATGATGACATCGAAGTAGAACGTGAACGTAGACCCTGGTCACAGATTAGAAATCAGCCAGTGAAAACAGTGAAAGGTGTAAAAGAAACACTGAATCCACTAACAAAGGATACACAAGAGAATTACACCAGTGATGAAGAATCATTCTATCAACTAGATGAACGAATCAAACGATTAACATCAAAATTTAACAAGAAATATTAACAATTAGAAATATTGAAAAGAAAATTGATAATATTCTATCACATATGTGGTGCAATACACTCACTCATTCTTCTTGGAAACAAGTTTTATGTATACATTAAGAATTATAAATACTTTTACGTATAATAACGTTTTCTCGTAATGTTACCTGGGGTTCTAGTGAGAAGTCATGACCAATAGGGTGCAGCAAGTCGGGTATGAGGACAAATACTCGCCAAAGACATTGGCTACTGGTCGTGCTATGTCGTGAATTGACTGAAGTTGGAATTCATGGACTGGCCATTGGATCAGATCCCAGTGGCTTAGTGGTTTATGAGCTAGCTCGCCCTGCAGCCAGAAGGTCCTGGGTTCTCGCCGCGGTGGGTGCGTACTGCTGAAGATTCCCAAACTAGGTCGGAGGAAACAGCTGTCCAGGACTCCCCGCAGGTTTTCCAATGGTTCTCTAACTGATGTCAGCTCATGAAGAAACCCTGTAACCAATCGAGGTTTAAACTCAAACAGCTAAGAATACAGTGATGCAGAGATTCTAACTGGGATATGCTGTAAAACCTACAGCTTAAATGATACAAGTGTTTAAAACGAAAGGCCAAACACTCGAACTACCAGACACCTTGATTAGATGATATGACAGAATCCTGCTGCCATTTATTCACTAAAACACTTGCTCATGAGGATTAAAGATACTTTAACCGGCAATAAGATATAACTGGTTTCATTCGACCCCATAGTACAACAAACTAAAAACACCTATTTCAGTTAATAATAATAACTAGACGATGAAATTAAAGAGAAAACTATTTCTATACGACTGAGATTAAAAACTATACTACTATTCAAAAAGTATTGACATTGTTAAGGTGAATTTATTTATTTATTATTTATTTAAATGCATAAAAAGCTTGGTACAATATGGCACCAAGAAGGATGCGCCACACAATAATAATAAAACGACATAGATCAAAAGAAAAACATATAAGTAGAGAAAGGATAAAGAACTTCATCTGGAAAGAAAACAGTCATGCTTAACAAGTTCAAACAGTATTCGTTAACCATCATCAGGAAGGAAAGAAAGAAGGAAATTCCAACACATTCGCCATCGATTACGATTCTTGGCCATATCCGATAACGTTTTGAGCCATCGATTTGAGCTATCTCGCGGACCCCAACCAGGGAGTCGTGACACACCAACCGATGCTAATCTAGCACAAAAATCCTTCATCCCACGACGCCACGTCATGGACTGACCACCTCCCCGCCTTTTCACATCCCGTCCCAGGGCTAGCGAACAGAGACCTGTACGGAAGCCTCTGGGGTGACATTCGCAGCACATGTCCAAGCCACCGGAGCCGGTGTTTCCAGATGACGACATTCAATGAATGGTGATCTCCACTGTGTTCAAACACACGCCGCCGAACCTCAGAATTACTCACGCGATGATGCCATCGAACGCAAGCAATCCTGCGGAGACAGCGGTGATCGAACACGCAGAGTCGCCGCACATCCTCAGCTCGGAGAGGCCAGGTTTCACAGGCGTAGAGCAAGAGCAGTCCCACCGAAGCATTGTATACCCGACCTTTGACAGCCAGGCTAACGTCGCGACGGCGCCAGAGGTGGCTCAAGTTGATGTATGCCACCCTAGCCTTCATTATACGGTTGGAAATCTCATCCGTCACCCCTCCGCCAGCACTCACACAACTACCCAGGTACACAAACTTATCAACAACTTCAAGCGGTTCACCCGCAAGAGTGAGTGCAGGTACAGGCTCCTGCCAATCTTGTAACAGTACTTTGCACTTAGACGGCGCAAAGCACATACCATACTTACAGACACTGATCGCCAACTGATTAAGTGCGATTTGGGCAGCCTGCATGCTATCGCACAGTAAGACGATATCGTCTGCATACTCGAGGTCGAAAAGTCTATCTCCAGGTAGCAGATCTACACCACCTTCACGCACATCCTTCAGAGCTGACTCCAGAATGTCATCGATGGCAAAGTTAAAGAGAAATGGAGAGATTGGGCAACCCTGTCTAACCCCACTGTTGGTTGGGAACAGTGGTGATAGTTGGTTGTATGCCCTCACTCTACCTGAGGTGTTTCTGTATAGGGCTTTCAGGATGTTAACAAATTTCTCAGGTACACCTCTCTCTAACAGACAGTTCCAGAGCACAGTTCTGTCCAACGAATCGAAGGCAGCCCTAATATCAAGAAACACAACGATCGTTGGCCTGCAATACGTGTGGCGGTGTTCCAACAACTGACGAAGGGTGAACACATGATCAATGCATCCACGACCTGAACGAAACCCAGCCTGCTCTTCGCGAATCAATCCTTCACGTATTTTGCACAGTCTGCGAAGCAAGACAGCAGCCAATATTTTAGACGCGACTGGTAACAGACTGATACCCCTATGATTGTCACACGAATTACGTCGACCCTTTTTAAAGATGGGGACGATAATGGCTTCGTTCCACATTGATGGTACACTCTCTGTCTCCCACACCTTCCTGAACAACCCAGTTAGAGCCATTGTGAGAGTCTCGCCACCATCTTTAAAAAGAGCCGGGGGTAATTTGTCTGGGCCGGGCGCCTTATGGCGTTTCAAAACTTGGAGTTCCTTACGGACCTCCGCTTCGGTGGGTGGGTCGGTACTAACCGACCAAGGAGCACTCGGGCTAATGATAGTAGACACTGAAGCTGGTGGCCAGCTGAACTGCTTCCCGAAGTGCTCTGCCCAGCGTTCCAGGCGTCTTTTCAGGCTGGTAATTGGAGTGCCATCTGCCTCACAGACCGTCTCGCTGACACCTTGTTTCTTGCTGCCGGTGGCTCGTATGAGTTGGAACAGCTTCCGACTGTTGCCAGATGCAGCAGCTGACTCCATCTCACACGCACGTTCTGACCACCAGGCTTCGCGGTCCTTACGTAAACACTGTCTAATCTTGCGCGTGAGCGCCTTTCGCTTGTTGTATTCGCTGCCAGCCGGAATGGACCGGCGTTCATCCATGAGTTGCAAGGAACTCGCAGAAACCCAGTGGTTGTTAGCGGAGCATTCTTTCAAGCCGCAAGCGGCTACACTCGCCTTTTGCATGGCACCTTGCACATGAAGCCAATGTTCATCTATACTACTTGGGGGGTTGCTGGCAAGCATTGTTTTTAACTCATTCTGATATTTCAAAGAAGTAGCAGGTGCTACTAGTTTGCTCACATCAACGCTTAGACGACGGCTTTTACGAACCCCACCAAATCGCAAGACGAACTTGGCACACACTAACGCATGATCGGAGTCCAGGCATGTGCTCCAGAAGGAGCGACAGTCTTGTATGCATCCTCGCCACCGGAAACTGACCGCGATATGATCAATCTGAGTCCAAGCTTGCTTCGCAGAGGGAGGACGCCAGGTAGCGCTACGGCGATGGCTGTGCCGGAAGTTGGTGCTGGCTAGAAATAGGTTGTGATCCGCGCAAAGCTGCAGAAGACGGTCCCCATTATCTGACCTGCGACCATGTAGGCCCCACTGACCACCTAGACGATTCTCCTTTGAGCTTAGACGCCCACCTGTGCATTCAAGTCCCAAGCCAGCACTACGATATTCCTCCGACCCGCCTGTTTCAAGAGATGGCCAAGTTGGTGATAGAACTCATCCTTCATTGTATCCGGGCTGCAATCCGTCGGTGCATAGGCAGAGACAACAAATAGACACCGCCTATCTGGCCTACTACTCCTTACTTACTTACATTTCCCCACTCTCATAAAAACTCTCGTTTCTGTAAAATTTCATGCCAAGAGTTTGTGGAAATTGTCAGAATTATTTACCTTTCGAACACTAAAACTGTGGACATAATCTTATTGACAGATAATACTTATAACCAACTGTTCGGATTTTTGAAATTTTTAACATAAACTCTAACTAAAATTGTATACATTGTTGGATCTATATGTTCAAGTTGTTCCAAGGCCGTGAGTCTGTGGTTTTGGTATCATTTTCGTTAACTGTGCTGAACTATATTGCATGTTGTTGTACTGTATCGTTGTTGTCGCTTTTTGCCCTTTTTGCTGTGAATTGTTTTCCTTTTGCTGGTGTTATTCTGATTGTTTTATCTCTTGTTATCCGATTTTAAGGGGAGCAACCCAAAAAGTCGCTTCTCTCTAAACTTTAACCTTATGTAACCATTCCTTTCTCAGGCGTGAGGCTAGCAACCCCACCCTGTAAACAAAGTTGCTACAGAAACTTCAGCACGATGAACCTCTTTGCACCAAAAGAAAAAGTCTCTGTGGGAACATGGGACGTCCGAACTATGTACGAGACTGGGAAAGCTGCCCAAATCGCAAACGAGATGAAAAGATACGGAATCCAAGTGCTGGGAATATGTGAAAGCAGATGGAATGGGAGTGGACTCACCAAATTGTCAACGAGTGAGTCAGTGATCTACTCCGGTCACCCAGAAGATAACCACACGCACACCGAGGGCGTGGATATCATGATGTCACCAACGGCAACAAAGGCCCTGGTCCAATGGGAGGCGATCTCATTCAAGATAATGACCACCAGATTCAACTCCAAAGGAAGGAAAGTGTCAATCATACAATGTTATGCACCCACAAACAACGCAGACCTCGAAAAGAAAGAAGAATTCTACAGACAACTACAGGAAACAGTGGACAATACTTCAGCTGGCGACATTACAATACTAATGGGAGACATGAACGCCTAACTGGGACTAGACAAAACAGGAAGGGAACTCACCATGGGTAGAGAAGCTCTCGGAGAAATGAATGAAAACGGAGAACTCTTCGCCGACTTCTGCGCCTTCAACGAACTAGTGATTGGTGGCAGTGTATACAAACACAAAGATATCCACAAGGCTACATGGATGTCACCAGACGGGCAAACCGAAAACCAAATTGACTCTATCTCAATCTCAAGGAAGTGGAGGCGCAGCCTACTGGACACAAAAGCAAGAAGAGGAGCAGACGTTGGCTCAGATCACTATCTCGTACAAGGGACAATCCAAATCAAATTAAAAGCTTACAGGGAAACAGGAGCTGCGAATAGACCACAAGCCAAGTTCAACACTCAAAAACTGAAGTACCAGGCTACAAAGGACATCTTCACTGCAAGCATAAAGGACAAAGCCGAGATACAAATCAACACCCGCGAAAAGGTCAGCGTCGAAAAGCATTGGAACAACTTGAAAACGGTGTGGAGACAAACCTGCATGGAAGTTCTAGGCAGAAAGAAGAGACAGGACAAACAGTGGCTCACTACGGACACTTGGGAACTAATAGAATAGAGAAGGACAGTGAAACAAAAGATTATCCAGTGCACTGACGAGCAACAAAAACAGGAGTTGAATGCAAGCTACAATACACTGAACAAAAGAGTAAAGAAGAGTGCCAGGGAAAACAAAAGAAGATATTATGAAACCATGACAAACGAAGCAGAACAAGCTGCAGGCAAAGGAGACCTCGCCACACTCCACCAAACAACTAGGCACCTATCGGGCAAACGTTCGACACAGATTAAGCCAGTAAAGGATGACAATGGAAAGTCAATCACCAAAGAGGTGGAACAAAGAAAACACTGGGCTGAACAATTCAAAAGACTTCCAAATCGACCGCCACCTACAACCCGCCCAACAATCACAGCTTGCTTGATTTACAGCTTGATTCCACACTGTATTTTTGGTACAAGTATGGAATTTTCAGCATGGATATCGGTAGCCCAAATTATGCAGGCCGACCATAGATATCAGGTGTGCGTCGGCGGGGGTTCGAACCTCGGACCATGTGTATGTTCGGCAGAAGCAGAACTACCAGTGAACACTGACCCCCCGACGAAATCAGAAGTCCTGAATAAAAATCAAGATGCTAAAAGCTGGAAAAGCACCGGGACCAGATGGAATCCCAGCAGAAGCTTTGAAAATAGACCCAGAGACAACAGCGGACTTGATGACGCCACTTCTGGAGAAGGTGTGGAAAGAGGGCAAAGTACCCGAGGATTGGAAGAAAGGATAATTAGTCAAACTACCAAAGAAAGGAGACTTAGGTCAATGCAAAAACTGGCGTGGAATTATCCTTCTGTCCATTCCAAGCAAAATACTAAGCCACATCATCCTGGAGAGAATGTAACAAGCCAACCTGGATGAAAAACTTCGACCGGAACAGGCCGGATTCAGGAGAAACAAATCATGTATTGATCAAATCGCCAGTCTACGGATCATCAATGAACAAAGCTTGGAATGGCAGTCACCTCTCTACCTCAGTCAACTTCATCGACTTTGAAAAGCCTTCGACAGCGTCCATCGAGAGGTCATTTGGCAACTACTTCGCTACTACGCGGTCCCATCGACAATCATACATCTCATCCAACAGTTATACGACATTGCTGCATGTTAAGTAATCCACAACGGGAAACTTACGGAAGCCTTCGAAGTGAGGACGGGAGTGCGACAAGGCTGCCTACTATCACCAATGATCTTCCTGATTGAAGTAGATTGGATAATGCGACAGACAACGGGCCGGGCAATGAGGAAACAGGCATAAAATGAACTCACACAAAAACTTGGAGGATCTGGACTTCGCCGACGATATATGTCTGATTTCCCACAAACTAGAAGATATGCAAGTGAAAAGCAACAAGTTGGCAGAAGAAGCATCAAAGATAGGACTTCCCGCAGGTGAATGTAGAGAAAACAGAGGCGATGAAGATTCCTGGCCAACACCAACAGCAACAACAGACAACAATAAGCCAGCATAAATGGGAGGAGCCTGAAGAAAACAACCTCCTTCATCCACCGACCTGGGAAGCATCGTTTCAACTACAGGCGGAACTGACGAAGATATCAAAGCCAGAATCGGAAAAGCAAGACAATCTTTCATTACTCTCAAATCTGTGTGGAGGTCAGCAGCACCCAGCATCAAAAATAAAATCCGGATTTTCAACTCCAATGTAAAGTCAGTGCTACTATACAGATCAGAGACTTGGCGAGTCATAAATAGCACCTCATACAAACTTCAAACCTTCATCAACAGTTGTCTTCGCTCAATACTCAAGATCAGATAGCTGGCCAGAAAAGATCAGCAACAGGGATCTCTGGCAATGAGCGAACCAACCAGGAACCGATTGTGAAACAAATATGCAGGAAGAAATGGAGATGGATTGGCCATACTCTGAGGAAACCATCAAGTGACATCACTAGACAAACCCTTGAGTGGAACCCGAAAGGGAAGCGGCGAGTTGGTCGTCAGTGTGAGAGTGACTTGGAGGAGGTCATGTGAGGAGGAGATGAAAGCATGTGGACAGACTTGGAGCGGGGTGAAAAAGTTGGCAGAAAACAGAAGGCAATGGAGGTGCGCAGCTGTAGCCCTATGTTCCTCCAGGAACTAAAGGATATAATAATAATATAACCTTTCAGCCTCACAGCACATAAACGACTGCTAATGGGAATCCAGCCGAGCAATGCAGCTTCGGCTCTGGCGCTTTGTGCGACACCGACACCCGCTACGCCAGATGCCGACGCCACAGCGTCCCCGGATAAGCGCAGATGTTGCATACCGCTAGAACTTCCAGATGGAGAGGATAGTCGAAGCACTTCACTGGGATTTTGAATGCGGGTCTCCGATATGCAGCAGACATCGATAGCGAGGCTTTCCAATGTCTGAACTAGCTTCTTTTTTGGACGCATAAATCTGACTTCTTAATGTGGATCCCAACAGCCTCAGCAATATACAGTCAACGACCTGTTAAGGTGAAGTTAAGATTAGTTGGTATACTGTGGTAAATGACTTTGAAAGCCTAGTTAACATCTATCTTATGTTCTGTATCCAAAAGATGAGATAAAAAAGCTCTATGAATGGATTTTGTTTGTCCCTTAATTAACCACGCATGGTGATGTTCGAAAATCCTATGAGAAACACGTCTAATTGTACGGCCTATGTAGCTGCACAGGAGCAGTTAAATTAGTAGATGCATACACATGAAAGAGGCGAAATTAGGCAGTTTACCTATGATATGTATCCACATGATGTGTGTTTCGTTTTTGACAGTCTGTTATATTTTGCTATGTGTATATGGATCGATATTTCATTATAACTGACAATATGCTTTTGTCTGTCCACTAACTAAATAGACATGTATGACCTTGTTATCACATGACACTACAAGCAATCATGGTAAGATGTTATCTTATTGCTTCATGTGTATTAGCCATTTTCATATATACTTTGCATTGTACACTTTATCATCCTTGTTCACACGTTTCGTACATTCGTACCATTTCACTCACACACTTGTGTGACATTTATTTTCCTTGTCTGGAAAAAACAAGTATCATCGTAAACCTGGTGGTCTTCTGATTTCCCTCTTTCCGCGTCAGGACTATTAACTACTGAACGAGTACATAACAACCTATAACTTCCGAACGCAAAACATGGGTGGCTTTGAAAAAACACAGCGTAATTCACCAGCAGAGAATGCTCTTTTTACCGCATTCCTAAGGCGTTGTATTATTATCTCGCTAATGTTATTTATCTCCAAGAAACTGAAGTTGTAAGAATAAGAGTTGTTTAGGAATTGTTGTTACTTCGACCTGATCTGCCGCCTTCAAGGAATGTTTTCGCTATATTTTGCATATAAAACTATACTCTACCGACTCTGAGTGAATCATATAAGTGATTGTATATCATCATTCATAGCACGTCGTAGTGCTTACGGTTTACCGTAAACTGATTTATATATTTATTTAAAACAATTCTAAAATGCAATCAGTTAAAACTATGTCTGTATTCTTCTTATTTCACTAAATGATTATAACAATAGAATATTAACAAACAGTATTTTCAATGTTTCAACAGATGTGTTAATTTTATTTTAATGATTTATATATATATATATATATATATATATATATATATATATATATATATATATATATATATAATATCTGCAATAAAACCGTAAATATGAAAAGAAAACTAGGCGTCAGTATGCATTTCAACGGCTTGTATATATATATATATATATATATATATATATATATATATATGCGTATATAATTCACAATTCACTACATTTTCTGTTTTGGAAAATGAGGAAGTCAAGTTTTTTGTGGTGTTGTACATTTGTGAAACACAATTTCTCTTCAGTTTACAAAATATATATATTATATGCTCAATAGAAAGAAACATGACAATAATAAGAACAGAAAGGTAGGTTAGCAGGTACAAAATGAAAGAAAGAAGAGACGACACAAGTGAAGGCTACATAAAAAGGGGGAAATAATTGGTTGAGGGGGGAACACACGCACACAGAGAGAGAGAGAGAGATTATGCCTGTCTTTCGCTAAATATCCAACACTTCTCAATTTCATGATGCCTAAAACAACATTAAAAAATAAATGTAAATAAATTTGTCTGTTTATTTCTTCACTTTACCCAAAATGCATGAGGCACTTCACAGAATAGAATACACAAACACAATGGGGATAATAGAAGCAATTTAATAATAATAATAATAATAATAACGATAATTCTGGCAGTACTATAAGGACTGGTGAGTGCGTCCGTGCGTGCATGCATGCATACAACACAAGAGAATGTATGCAGATGAATGCAGCATTGAAATGAGGAATTTGCACAGAAACCTCTACATAAATAATTTACACACACAGCTGATGAAAAACGTGAGAAGAGAAAACAATAGAACAACTAAGTGAGATTACACCTTCAATTATATATATATATATATATAAACGTGTGTCACAAAGACATGGCTGTATAGATAAATCGGTAGATATACAAGTAGGTACAAGAAGTAAGCAAAATAACCGAAACAAAATAAACTCGTTGTTTTTCTCTCTCACTCATCAGTATTACTCTGATTATGATTATTATCTCATCATTGTTATTGTTATTATCTTCTGTTACTGGATTCTGATAATGACACCTGTTTCCAACGTCATGTTATTTATGTTAATCCCCCGTATTTATTCAACAATTCATCGCATATCTTCGTTAATTCTTCATTTTCTCTAGTCTAATAATGAGACAGAAAGGAAAAGGGAAAGAAAAAGAAACACGTAGAAATCTTTATGTTAACATGATACATTATTAACAGATATACATGTACTAGTTCAAAATATGGATTTTTTTGTTCTTGGTGTTGAGGGATTTAGATTAATCTTACTGTAGACTTTATCACGAATCTATAATCTAAATATCACTTTCCAAATGGTGGATAGCTACTGGATGGATGTCCCGAAGTTGTACTGAGATATTATATTGAGGCGTGAGGCGTATCATGTCAAGGTGAGGCGGACGCTCATCAAAAAAAGGCATTAGTTGAAAGAGCGGCGCTACACCACGAATTGACAAAGTCAGGATTCATGGAGTCACTGAATTCCAGCCCAAGTTTGGTCTAATCACCTGAAAGTTCCGGATTCGATCGCTGAGTGGGGTTGTGACTGCGCATTGCTGCAGAGTGCCAAACTCGGACGAAGCAGATTTCTAGTACTCCATAGTTTTCAATTATCTTCCGCTGATGTTGGTTCGTGATGAAATTCGCACTTAAGTATATAATAGTGTCATTAACATAAAAAAAGGCCAATAGTATACAATATGCCAACTACAGGAGGAACTGATGACGATATCAAAGCGATGATCAGGAAACCAAGGTAACTATTCCTCACTCTCAAGTCTGAGTGGAGGTCAACAGCACTCAGCATGAAAATGAAAATAAGATCCGAATTTTCAACTCCAATGTGAAATCAGTGCTACTTACTATACGGATCAGAGACTTAGACAACGCGTCATGAAGAGCATTTCAAACAAACTTCAGACCTTCATCAACACGTGTCTTCACTCAATACCACTCAATATCAGATGGCCAGTCAGAAAAAAAAATCAAAAACAGGGATCTCTGGGAATGAGCGAACCAACCAACCAGGAACCGAGCGTGCACTAAATCTGCAGGAAGAAATGGAGATGGATTGGCCATACTCTGAGAAAACAAACCATCAAGTGATATCACATGCTAGGCCATCGCTCGAGTGGAACCCGAATGGGAAGCAGCGAGTTGGTCGCCAGTGTGAGGGTGAATTGACATGGAGAAGGTGATATGAAGAGGAGAGGAAAGCATGTGGGCAGACATGGAACCAGGTGAAAACGTTGGCGGGGATCCGAACACAATGGAGACGTGCAGCTGAAGCCCTATGTTCCTCTACGAGTTAAGGGAAATAATAATAACAATACAATATGTAGCTTTTTATTACTTGTTTTGAAGAGTGTTATTATTACCTAAGAGAGATAAAGAGAACTGAAGTGGAGAGTGTTAATTAAAAGACATGTTGAAGGCAGAGGAATACATCGTCGCACAAATTGTATTATAATACAATATAACATTAGATGCAAAATCACCCCGTAACAATAGAAGACAAGGGCCAGGTAACAGATCCTTTATTGAGAAAAGTAACAGATATTTATAGATTTTTATGTACATTAATGTCAGCAGAGAAGCTGATTGGTTGTTTTCTTGCTGAAGGTTATTCTGTCATCTCTTCGTGTCCATTTCTCAGAAAGTTAGGCCATGTATCTGCGAATCCTATTCGCACACGTTAGGTCTGCTGCGATTGGTTGGTGATTTCCTCAAGCTAAAGCTATGTTATTGTTTCTCGTAAGACCCTGATTCGGGAGGTAACATTGACGTAAATTGTCTACAATTTTGGCTTGCAGCCAGCTCTCACCACAACCGTATCAATACAGAAGGCTGTAACAACACATCATTACGATTAGCATACAAAATCTCTAAACACCGATCCTTCCGACCATATTGTCCAGCACTAAACCAGATAATCGAAATGCGTATATAGTAAATAATAATTAGTTTATAAACATATCCATAACTTGTAAAAACATGTAGATCTATGGGTCATTCGTTTAGGTATCTGACTTTCAACCAGTGAGATAATACATTCAAAATTTTTACAGTTCACCGAGGTTTGGAGTAATGTCTTTCTGTTTTCGACATAGAACTTTACACCGATGTGCGCCAGTTCAAGTCGCCACACTCTATGTAGCACTCAAAACAAGAGAAGAAAGTAGAAGAAATGCAAAACAGAGACAGTAGACAGGGATATGAGACAAAAGAAATATAAATAACTAAGAACAATGTAGTTTCATTGGTAATTATAAGTCACAAGGAGTGGATGAAGCTGCGCTGTCATTGAGAACGTAGATTTTGAGCCATATCACCAATTGTTTCCAGCCATTGGTTTTTACCGTCCCGAGGACCCAAACCAGGAAGTCTAATATTATTTTTATCATCACTGTTGATAACGTCATCATTTATTACAAGCAAAATGTAGTTGACAACAATGCAGGGAACATATAAACTGTTAGGGGATAAATTGACAAGTTAGTATTGTTGAATAGAAATAATCAACTAATAATAATAATAATATAAACGCGTCACTCAGCATCAACAACAAAATTCAGTTGGATTTTCAATACAAACGTCAAGTCAGTCACCTCTTCTTTACGAATCAGAAACTTGACGGGCGGGTCACAAAGAATATTTCCAACAGCCTGTTGCAGACCAGATCTTTATCAACAACTGTCTTCGCTTGATCTATACTGAAGATCAGATGGCCGGGCCAGACCTGAAAGAATCACCAACAAGAAACTATGGGAAGAAACGAACAAAACAAGAACAAACCAATCGCCAACCAACAAATATGCAGAAAGTGGAGATGGATGGATTAGGCACTCACTGAGGAGGCCGCTGGGTGACATCGTGCGTGCGCGTCAGGCCATTTCTCGAGTGGAACCCGACAGAATGGGAAGCGGCGGCGAGTGGGACGTCAGTGCAAGGGTGACATGGAGGAGATCGTGTGAAGAGGAGGAGTTGAAACAGTATGGACTAACATGGATGGATGCAGGTGACAAGTACAGCAGAAGGAAGACAGAAGCAAATGGAGACGTGCATTTGAAGCCCTATGTTTCACTAGGAACCCAAGGGAACAATAATAAAAATATTAAATAAACATGAACAATAACAAACCTTCTGCTGTAACTGAGATTCAAGACTTTTAACTTGAAGTTCAGCTATACGTAATGACGCCTGTAGTCGAGTTTGATTTGTTTCATATTCCTGTTTTACTGTCTCAGTGTCTTGATTCACTCTATGCGTGAGGAGAATAAACAGTGGAAAACAAAAATTGTTAACATTAGTAGAGAAACAAACACTTCTACAGTGTTACATCATTGAAACAGTTGAAACATGAAATAATTTAATAATACAATTAGGAAATTAGTCTACACAGCATCTCAGTTATTTCCTTCATTAATTAGCATACCCGAGTGGAAGATAAAACTTCAAGCTTTAGAGTTCCAGCAGCGCTGATGTTCTTTTTACAAGGCATGGTTGCTAACCACACACACGTAAGCTTCCTTTTTCGGGGCTTATTACCAACTAAGCGAGGTTTAAGAGTGTACATTGACCGAGAATCAAAACCGGACCACATGTTTGTGGTAAGCGACCATTAAAACACCGAAGCATTTAGATATTAGTGAAACACAAAAGTAATTCAATTCGTTATAAAGTTCACATACCAGTTAGATAATGTTTTCGTGTTCAAACTTTAAAACATCAACTTAATCGGGACAAAAACACTGGCACCAATCACTACCTAAAGGTCAAATTTGAAGGAAGTCACTTCCTAACAACTTGTCTAGACAGGTAGGTAACACAGATGAGAATGTTAAAGTCAGCCAGAATTGGAAAAAAAGGACGGACACACATTACTGTCTGTCTATCTATTTTCGACATAGAACTTTGCACCAATATGCGCCAGTTCAAGTCGCCACACTCCCTCCTTGTAGCATACAAAGCAAGAGAAAAAAGTAGAAGAAATGCATAATAGAGACAGTAAACAGAGGAGTGAGACAAAGGAATAGTAATGACGAAGAACAATATAGTTTGATTGGAGTGGATGCACCTACTCCAGCCATTGACAACGAGGAGCTATGATCAAAGACAGCTAGCTAATCTGTTCATGTCTTCCACTCTCAATGGCCATAAAGGAGGACGGAGCGGACTGATGAGTACTACACCCACCCTTTGGTCGATAGCCAGTCGGATATCACGTCTACGCCAGAGACGGCGTAAACTGTCATATGCAAAGCTAGCCCTCTGTATCCGTGGTGAGATTTCGTCAGAGATCAACGCGTTAGCGTTGACTGATGGTGTGGTGAGAGCAGGCTGCTAGCTGATTGGTTGGCACTAATCTACGTTAATGTCTAGGTCACTAATATTGACCGTGAACAAGGCTGTTTCAACAACCAATCACAGCAAACCTAAATGTGGACAAATATGATTCGCAGATAGATGGCTCTACTTTCCGAGAAATATCGAACACAACCAATCATAAGACTGTGTTTGTCTGCTTAACTTCCGAGAAACAACCAATCAGAAGACTGCCTTTTTCTGCTTGCATAAGCCTTATTAATGCATATAAAATATAGATAAATACGTGTTGATTTTCGTAATAAAACGATCTGTTGCCAGCCCTTGTCTTCTGTTGTTACATTTGGTGTCGCTGCCTCCAAGAAGATGAAGATCCCGTGGCCAGCTGCGTTTGAAGAAGGTGACATACGGAGCTTCTTACGTGACTTCGAAGCCGTTGCTGAGCTGGTGGGTGTCAAGGAGCAGGCGGCGAAGGCAGTTGTCCTGGGGACGCTGTTAAGAGGCCGAGCGAAGGCTGCATATGACAGCGTAGACAGGTCAAATGGCACAGCGTCTTGGAAGAAATTGGTTGAACGACTAGTGTCCGAGTTTGACAGCGAAACAGACAGACAGCTAGCAATGCAGCAGTTCCGGTCAATGAAGCTTGGACCTGATGGAGACCCGCTAGTGTTGGCGGTGAAACTGACTAATCTACTTCGACGCGCGCTTCCCACTTTAGATGAAGAATCAGAAGCGCAGTTACTGTCTTCCCAATTCATCGAGAGTGTCCCCGACCACATTTCTCAGCGATTAAAACTGGTTAACGCAACGCAGCCGATGGATATTAGTGAGCTGGCGAAGGTGACCAGACAGCTGCTGAGCACAACGGTAGCCGCTATAGACCAACCAAAACCAAACGAATATGAGCAAAAAATTGAAGCATTGCAGCGGGAAGTGGCGGCGTTAAAGTTGGCTGATAGAAAAGACGGGGTCAAGTATATACCATCCGAAGAGGTGATAAACAGAAACGAGTTAACGCCAGTCAGCTACAAAGATGGGTACAGTGGGACAAGCCGGTCAGTAACAATCCTCAACTAGAGGATGTAGCACCCAGAAGGTCGGAACGTCTGCGCACAAAGCTATTTGACGGGGGGACGAGTGTGGTGAGAGCAGGCTGCTAGCTGATTGGTTGGCACTAATCTACGTTAATGTCTAGGTCACTAATATTGACCGTGAACAAGGCTGTTTCAACAACCAATCACAGCAAACCTAAATGTGGACAAATATGATTCGCAGATAGATGGCTCTACTTTCCGAGAAATATCGAACACAACCAATCATAAGACTGTGTTTGTCTGCTTAACTTCCGAGAAACAACCAATCAGAAGACTGCCTTTTTCTGCTTGCATAAGCCTTATTAATGCATATAAAATATAGATAAATACGTGTTGATTTTCGTAATAAAACGATCTGTTGCCAGCCCTTGTCTTCTGTTGTTACAATGGTACTTCCCAAATAAGTGAAGCGGTCAACTCATTACTGTGAAACCAGTATGGCAATCTACTCTACTAAGCATTAAAAACAAGATCCGGGATCTTCAACACTTATGTCAATTCAGTCAGTCAGTGCTTCTATATCGTTCAGAGAATTGACGTGTCACACTGCAGACTGTTATATTAACAGATAGCTTCGTTCCATACTGAGGATCAGATGGCCAGAAAGGATAAGTAATAATCAACAATGGGAACAAACTAACAAAGAACCTATGCAGGAGGAATCAGAGACAGTGCCATCAGACTGGAGTAAGTCACTTATTATATCGACATTCAAGAAGGGAAATGATAGGATCCCACATATTTTGGTATTGACTGTTTAAACTTGCATAAATGGTATGTTATCATTCTCACACATTTTGGTATTGACTGCTAATTTTGTATATTATCATTCTCACGCATTTTGGTAGTGACTGCTAATTTTATATATATGGTATATTATCATTCCCACACATTTTGTTACTGACTGTCAATGTCGCACATATGGCATATTATCATTTCTCACACACTTTGTTATTGGCTATTAAGGTCAATTATTTCAAATGCTGTTAGCTGTCCATATTGTTGTAAAATGTATAAATACCATGGCTTTCTTTATCGTTGTTGCACCTCAATACACAGTCACAGTCCAGCCTTTGTCTTTTGATATTTGCGTGCTTTACTAAGTCGGAAGGTACGACGAGCAGATAGACAGATTAGTTCAGGCGCAGACAGAATAAGGTGAAAACGTCTTCATTCAATTCCCTACAGTTATAACAAATTGGCGACGGGGATTTACTTTAATTCAGTGCAGTTATAACAATTGGCGACGGGGTTTTACTTTAATTCATCGCAGTTATAGCACGCAACGACGACAGTTTTTATTCTGTTCAGCGCAACTATATAACATTTTTGACTGTGTTAATTACAACCCAATTATAATGTCTATCTCTCTGGACGATCTTCCGGTGACTGCAGTTGAGGTTGCCAGACACACACTGCGTGATCCAGTTTTACAGCAAGTATCAAAGTTCATCCGATTTGGCTGGCCTCCACATGTTCATTCAAATGTTTTAAAACAGTTTTACCAGCGACGCCAATCCCTATCCATCGTTAATGGATGCATAATGTTTGCTGATCGTGTTGTCGTTCCAGCTAATCTTCGTGACCATGTGCTTCGGCAGCTTCATATATCACATCCTGGTGTTGGGAGAATGAAGGCGATCGCTCGCAGTTATGTTTACTGGCCCAACATCGATGACCATATCGAAGACCTCGTTCGCAAGTGTAGTAAATGTGCTCAAGCATCAAAGTGTCCACGCAAGACAGAACTATGTTCCTGGCCACGACCGGACAAACCATGGTCCCGTGTTCATGTTGACTTCGCTGGACCGTTCAATAGTATGCATTTCTTAATATGTGTCGACGCGTTTTCCAAATGGCCAGAGATATTTCCTATGCATTCTGCCACATCAATTGCAACAGTGTCCCACCTACGTCAACTATTACTGAACGTTTCGTCGACACCTTTAAGCGTGCTTATGCAAAAGCGAAGGGGGAGGGAACAACAGAAAAAAATTTTGGATAAATTCTTGCTGCATTATCGTACGAATGAAAAAGGACAGTTATGTGGCAGACACACAGATCACGCTCTATCCAGTACCACGCAAAGGTCAACTCGACAAAGAAGAGCTCCGAAACCTTTTCAAATAGATCCAAAAAGCAAGTCCTACACTCTTTACGGGGGGAGGTGATAGGATCCCACATATTTTGGTATTGACTGTTTAAACTTGCATAAATGGTATGTTATCATTCTCACACATTTTGGTATTGACTGCTAATTTTGTATATTATCATTCTCACGCATTTTGGTAGTGACTGCTAATTTTATATATATGGTATATTATCATTCCCACACATTTTGTTACTGACTGTCAATGTCGCACATATGGCATATTATCATTTCTCACACACTTTGTTATTGGCTATTAAGGTCAATTATTTCAAATGCTGTTAGCTGTCCATATTGTTGTAAAATGTATAAATACCATGGCTTTCTTTATCGTTGTTGCACCTCAATACACAGTCACAGTCCAGCCTTTGTCTTTTGATATTTGCGTGCTTTACTAAGTCGGAAGGTACGACGAGCAGATAGACAGATTAGTTCAGGCGCAGACAGAATAAGGTGAAAACGTCATCATCCAATCCCCTACAGATATAACAGGAAACAAGTCCTCGTGTGATAATCATGGGGGGATCAGCCAAACGAACATAGTCTCTAAAATCCTAGGCCAGTAATCATGCACAGACTAAGCAGAACTCGGGAGGAACAGACGAGGGAAAATCAAGCAGGCTTTAGACCAGGTAGAGGATGCATAGATCATATCTTCACTCTTCGACAGATTCTAGAACATAGACACACTTTTCGGCGTCCAACAATAGCCATATTTCTTGACTTGAAGGCGGAATTTGACTCCGTGGATCGAAAATTACTATGGCAATGTCTGACTGTGAAGGGAGTGCCAAAGAGTAAGAGCGATATGCTCAGTAGAAGTAATTGGAGACGAATTAGGTATTGTACATGATACTTTGATCGAAAATAGCAATCCCGACAAATTTATCAAGGAAAACATGACAAAGAAAGCGCAAAAGGACTACTCACTATCTGTAAAAACGAAGCCACTTTATACACAACTACAATTCATGGGCGATATACCAAACGAAATGATTACGAGGAAACTAAGAAAATCAGTTCAAAGAACTTTTAGTGGTGGTCAACTACACGTCTCATTCTTTACACAACCGATGGTGACACCTCGACTGAAAGATGAAGTGCCTAGACTAGCCACTTCTAATGGTATCTACCAATTCAACTGAGCTTGTGGGGCGAGTTATATTGGCCGTTGCTCTAGGAACTTGATTTTTCGTGCTCGCTCAAGAACATATCCCACTATGGCTAAGTAAAAGTGTAGTTAAAACCATGAACAGTTCGATATTGGACCATCCGGTACAAACCAGTTGGCCACAAAGCAGCCAGCATTGTCAAATCCTTCTCTATCATTTATCGGGTGCCTAATAAATTGACAAAAACATCGAAGCACCGCTGGCTCCAAACAGCAGAGGCTATTGCAATTCACCTCAAACAACCAGTGCTCTGTGTTCAAAAGAAGTAAGTCCAGCCACTACTGCTGCCCTGACCGGCCTTCAGTAGAGACTAGAAATTCATGAATTTGTATTATTATTATCTTTACTGATTTTTCTGACATTCAGTTTATTTTATGTTGACGCTATTGAGCTGTAATCTATCAATATTATTGATTCGATGTTATTTAAACAACATTAATGTTGTTCATAACATTAATTCATTCATTCACTATAATGTATATACAACTGTAGAACCTGATGGTGAAGGGGTTATAGAAAAGAGCACTCTTTGTTCAGTATCCATTCTTTTAAAATAATTTCCTGAATAAAAGATAACTCACTTTAATAATTGCTCCTCAGCATGTTTCTTCAAGGCTACATACTTTCTTTCTTGACGTTGTAGTAGATTTTTATACTCCTCAATACTGTGTTTTAAAGCTTGTTCATTCTGAGTAATCATAAAGAAAAATGAGGAATACTATTAGAAACTGCTCAACATTAGCGTAGTTACTTTGTGTGTATGTATGAATAGGACAAAACTAGTATTTGCTCTAGAAGATTGCCAATACAAAACCTCCGCTGAAGATGTTGTTTAGAAGGACGACGGAAGCTTCCCAATTAAATAAACCAGCTCAGAGAACACAATTAATTCAACAGAACAATGTGTATCACGATAAAATTTAGTAGGCTAACTGTTTTCATAGCTTGTAATCATAGACAATTCGAGGGAAATTAATTCATGAAGATAAACGAAGGTACTTATTACTTAATGAGTAGTATAATTCAAATAACAAAATAAACCCGAAGTATTACTTCATATCTGATTGTATTTGATTGATGACACTAATATTATTTCTGAATGTACATTATCTAAATATCGATTTTATTCAAATGCCTAATCAATTTTAGTCATGTATATAAATAAAGCAAAAAGTTGTGTGAGTGACTTGATATGATAATGAGTGGTAATAATTTGCGCTCGAAACGTGGTCATCAGTCAATATTAATTACTGTACAAAGCAAAATTTTATCCATAATGGAGTTATACTCTACCACATTGCCAAAGTTTTCATACTTATATCAACAAATCCAATGGAATAGATTGTAAGATACACGTTTCGTCTAATTTTACTATTCGTCAAATGGATTGACTCGCCTCCACAGCCATTGTTGGTGATTCCGCTAGGTCGTCAACTTAGTACCCATCATTTTAAACGCTAAAGCCATTGGTTGGTTCACGAGTCGCAAAAGTAGGGTGGAATGTATGTCCTGGATTCTACCGCCAGACACTATCAACTAAAATGATAATGCATAAATTCAAGGTCCTGTCAATGTGTCTTTCTTACTTTTTCAATTTTTTTTTATTTTCACTCTATTCGCAAAGCAACACATTTCTGTCTTAAACGTATATATCCTATCATAAATACTGAGACCTTGTCAATTTTCAACATATACGAAACTTCAAATCAATGCATGGACCCAGTGGATTTGTGAGTACAATATTATTTAGATGAAATTAACATTAAACCGACAGAAATCTCTCAGTAATTCAGGCAAGATATTTTCTAAAAACTCCCTGCTATTTATTAATCATAATAATATGTTTATTTCTGAAGTAGGTCTTTTATATTCTAAGCTATGAGCCACAATTATTGTACGACAGTTGCCCAGATTGAATTAAGTATAGTGGGATTTGAACCTGGGACTTACTGGATGAAAGTCGACTGCTCACAACAACAGTATACTGATGCCTAAAATATCATCCGATGAAGTAATCAAACCATTAATAATGCGACCTAAAACACTACTACCAAATTTATTTGAAAATGTGGTAGCGAAGTAATGTAGCCTAAAAGAAATGATAACCATTGAGAATTTATTGACTATATATTGTGAATCTTATTGTGAACGATATTTACTGAGCGGTGGTGCTCTACCATACTGTCAGTACTTTAACTCAGTAAGAAACGTCTCGAATTTTCTCCGCTCATCAAGCGATGACTAGACGACAATAATCCACACATAAGATAAGTATAATTTGTGGTGTGAAGCACGAGACTTTAATGTATTATCAAGGTCTGACAGTTTGAAATTTGTTGATGCCATGAAATTTTGACCTCACACCTAATCTTCATACGACGGCATATGATACCACTACTTGATATCATCTCGTCAACTGGGTACTATAAAGATATGATGGAGAAGATTTGTAGCTCAGGTGGATGATTTTGATGTAGTTGTGTTCTCTGAGCTGGATAGTCAATTGCGAAGCTTTCATTGTCCTACTAGGTAACGTTTTCAGCGCATACTTCAACTTCAAGTGAGCTTTTCGATTTCTCCACGATTTGATTGGTCATCTCTCCTGGTGACCTTGAACGTGACTGGCTGTTGTTGTGTTTTCACACCCACAACAACTGCTAACAAAAATGTGGGGAAAATTATGAATTAAACCCGAAAAACACGTTTTTCTTAAAATATAAAACAGATGTGTATCAAATTTTTTTTCAAAGTAAAGCAAAAAACAGACGACTAAAATATGATAATTCATACCTTACACTTCATATCATCTCTTGACAAGCTTAGCTTAGTTATTTTAATTAGACATTTAATCTGAACAGCAGGAGATATGAATTGAAATTTTGGAGAACAGGTTGCAGTGAAGCAGACAAGAAATCTTTTATCCACACAACAGAATCGATAATACTGAATGCAGAAAAACACATGCCTAATGTTGTAATACAATATATTTCGATACAGCTTTAATTTAGTCTGTAACTGCGTATTTGAAGTTCTGACATAATGAGTGATTTAGACATTCGACTTTCAGTTAGTTGTATGAAGAATTCAAACATATCAATTAATCCTGTATTATTTTGAGCACTTATACCTTTCATGATTTAAATTTTTTTTCGTTCCTTCACGTTCCTCAGTGAAACATAGGGGACTTCAAGCTAGAGGCCTGAAGTTTCTGTAGCAGTGTTTATTTTACAGGATGGGGTTGATAGCCTCATGCCCAACCTTACCTCTTTACCAGGATTATTTCTGGCTTAGCGAGGTAAAGGAGTGCATCGACCTGGAATCGAACCCCAGACCATGTGCATGGTCGGCAAGCGTCCTAACCGCTATGCCACCGACGCACTCATGATTTATATATTTATCACTTATCACACCTGTGAACTTTGATGACAGCGTTTTTCTTCATAAACAAAGTCTGAGCAACCAAATGATATCAACAATCACCAGTGCACAATTACCAATTACAGATATCTGTACACACAGGTTGCATTACCCAGGAAATTATTTCACTGATTGTTAAAAGGCCGCGTAAAGGTAAACCGCTCAGTAAATATACGAACAGACAAGAGGAAGTATGAGATGAAAAGATTTTATTTCAAATTCCCTTTAGCGATACCCCCCATAAACAAGAAGTGTGTAGCTTAGAGAGAGTTGACAGCGGAGTTTTGTGTTTTCCTAAGACATTCAGCAAGTAAGCTATGCTGTCCTCCATTTTGGTGACGAACAGCGGTAACAGGGATATATGATTATTAATTTTATTGCATTACACTACATATGTATATATACTACTTTGATTGGACACTGGTAACCGGGGTGACGTGTCTAGTCCTTTATTTGGCGCAGACTGAATTCTATCAGTCAGGTTTGCAATGTGGTCACCATTCTAGGTAGCTCGCCAACAGTCCTACAGGAGGTCAATCGCGAGTCCGAATAGTTCAGTGGCAACGTCTCCAACTGCAGCACTGGGTGACCCAGGTTCGAATCTCAGAAAGGACATGAGTTCCTTCAATGTTGCAGATACGCCCTGCTGACTGGTGAGTGCCAACTAGCACGAAACCTAGGTCAAGCAAGACATCCTGTGGTCGATTGCCTCCAACTATCTAATATATGTAGTATATTACTAGCATATATTATTATATAAGTGCTGACGAATCAGTACTGGTGATTATTCTTTAAAATTTTATTTTGGGAATTTCCTGTTCCTGGGCAGCAATTCTATTTGAATTCTAGTTTAAATGTAATCGAAATCATCTGGATATCTTAGAAACACGCTAACACTTCCGACTAAATAAAGAATAATTAAATAGTAATGAATAACAGCAATACAATGTCAGCTCATGATGAAATCCTGTAACCAATCAATTAGATCCCTAAAAGCCAATACTTGAATATTGATGAGATGCTCACTGGTGACTGACCCTATTCAGGTAGTTAGTTACCTGGGTCCTAGTGAGAAGTCGTGACCAGTAGGGTGCAGCAGGTCGGATGTGAGGACAAATACTCGCCGAAGACATTGGGTAGTGTAGTGGTCCCTCTTTGTCCTGAATAGGCAGAAGTAAGAATTCATGGGCTGGCCATTGGATCGGCTCCCAGTGGCTCAATGATCTTCGAGCTCGCTAGCCTTGTAACCAGGCCCTGGGTTCGAACCCTGGCGGTGTATGCGTACCGCTGAAGGGTCCCAAACTCGGACCGAGGAGACAGCTTCCCAGTACTCCCTGCAGGTTTTCCAATGGTTCTCTAACCAATGTCAGCTCAGGACGGCGTAAAACAACGACTAGTGACTAGCTATGACGTCTATAGAGTGACATTTAAAAAGGTAACACTTAGAATAAATCGAATGAAATAAAAAACAGGAAGTCACGTAAAATCATTTCCTCTGAGAAAGTATTTTCTTCAACTAATGTCGTTGGCTTCCAATGTCGAAGTTAGGAGTACATTTGTTAAACACATTTATAGATTTCATCATAAAATCATTAGATACTACAATGAAATATATTGTAATAATAACACACCTGTTTAAATCCTTCAATAATTTGTTTTGATTTTTCAAAGCGTCTGTGTAAATCACCAAAAGCTTTTTCAATTGTAGCCAATTCTTCAACAGCTTCATCACGTTCTTTAATTAAATCAGCTACAGATACATTAACGTGGGCTTGACTGTGAGCTTTCTCTTCAACCATATGCTGTAAACTACGATCATACTCTGTGATACAATTTCTATAAAATAGACAAGTAAAAAGGTAAACAAGTCTCGAGTAGTTTCAAACAGAAAGCTTTTATTTTAAACATATATAATGCAAAAACTTTTGACTGATCTAATAGGATTGTATTGTAATTAAGCTGATCAATGGTTCAATATGTATACACTTTAGTACGATAATGTGTGCGTCGGTGACACAGCGGTAGACAGCTCGCCGACGAAGCTTGCAGTTCGAGGTTTTATCCCCGGCAACCGAGGCACTCATTTACCTCACTAAGCCAGTAGTAAGACTGGTAGAGAGGGAAGGTTGGGCATGAGGCTGGCTAGCAACCCCATCCCGTAAAAATAAACAACACCACTGCTACCGAAACTTCAAGTCCCTAGCTCAAAGCCCACTCGGAACATGAAGAGTACGATAATAGTATGAAGCTACGGTTGATTGCTTTTCAAAAAATGAAATCCAGTATTAATTCTAGAATAAGTATAAAATATCATAATTATTTTTTTTCAAAAGAATGGATAATGTACTCTTTTCTATAACTTCATCATCAGGCTCTACACTTATATATACATTATAGTGAATGAATGAATTAGTGTTATGAACAACATTAATGTTGTTTAAATAACATCGAATCAATAATAATAATAATAATACCAGTGGGTTACAGCTCAGTAGAATCAACATAAAATAAGCTGAATGTCAAAACAATTAGGAAAGATAATATTACAAATTCATGAATGTATAATCTCTACTGGTGGCCAGTTAGGACAGTATTAGTGGCTGGATTTGCTTCTTTTGCACACAAAGCACTGGTTGTTTCACGCGAATCGCGATAGCCTCTGCTGTTTGCAGCATGCGGTGCTTCAATGTTTTTTCAATTTATCAGGCACCCAGTACATGATAGAGAAGGATTCTGCAATACCAGTTGGCTTTGTAGCCACTTTGGACCAGGTATTCTAATATCGAACTGTTGATGCTTCTCATTACACCTTTATTTAACCACGCTGGTAGATGTTCCCGAGTGAGCACGAAAAATCAAGTTCCTAGAGCAACAGCCAATATAACTCGCTCCAACACAGGCGCAGTTGAATTGGTAGATACAATTGAAAGTGGCTAGTCTAGGAACTTCATCTTCTAATCGAGGAATCACCACTGGTCGTGTAGAGAATAATAATACATGTAGTTCGCCAGCATCAAAAGTTCTCTGGACTGATTTTCTCAATTTCTACGCAATTATTTCGCTTGGTATATCGCCCTTGAATTGCAGTCGTATATAAAATGGCTTCTTGTTTACAGATAGTGAGTATTTTATCCCTTTATGTCCCCATTGGAACATAGGGCGACTTCAAGCTAGAGGCTTTAAGTTTCGGTAGCTGTGGAGTTTAGTTTTACAGGATGGAGTTGCTAGCCTCATACCCAACCTTCCCACTTTACCGTTTTTATTAATGGCTTAGTGAGGGTAAAGAAGTGAGTCTGTAGCCGGGGATAGAACCCAGGACCACATACGCGGTTGGCGACAAAATATCATAAAGCTTCACATATTACACCTAAATCATGCATGGACTTCTCCATCACGTTAAAAAGTCACATCATAAACCACAATAGCATTTAAATCGAAAAGTATTCTTATTTCTCAAACAGATAAACACTAACAATACAAACAGTAGCGGAATAAATCCAATCAGTCGAGAATAAAATGAAAAAAATTAAAAATACGCACAACAAATAAATTCAAGCAGTAATATAAGTTTGACTCTGCTATAAGACGAACAATCTCTTTCAAAATTTGCATCAATTAATTGCCATCCCGTATTGGTTTCCGAAGTGCTGTTCAAAATCTCACCATTTTTAAGTCTATTAATATACTCTCAGAATTTACATTAACGCAGATAGTTTCATGAGAAAATAAAATACAAGATAGAAAAGCAAATCAACCCTTGAAAATTATCCTGATCCTCGCTAGTGACTGACTACACGACGGAGTTTCCTGGAGTACTAAGTGAAAGGTCGTGACTAGTATGGTGCATCCAGTAGGGAGTAGGTGGGATGGATTTCCCACCGATGACATTAGATGGTGGTCGCACGTAAAATAACGAATTGGTAGAAGTTAGAATTCATGAGCCATTGAGTCGGGTCTTAGTGGCTGAGTGGTATACGAGCTTCTCTCGTAACCCGTAGGTCCTGCAGGTGGGCGTGTCTCAAGCATTTATTGAAGTTTCAGCAGAAGTAATGTTTCTGCAAGATGAGATTACTAGCCTCACACAGAGAATTCCTCCTCTTCCCTGGTATTATTGTCGGTAAGTAAAAGACTACGCAAATTTTATAAGGGAATCAGCCGGGAATGGAACCCCAGACCCCTACTTGAGTACTCGGTAACCATTAACACCACTGAACTGCAAATGCACTTCTATGGGCATGTTATTAACTTATGATGACTGATTCAAAATAAAAGAATTGGCAGCAGGGTTAATGTAATAGTTTTACACAAATTTAAGGGAAAATGCATCGGAATTTTGGCATTTTCCCTAGAGTCCTCTGAATTCCCTACAACAACCGACTGTTCAAGCAGAAATTACCGTAGTTCCGTTTTAACAATTTGAATTAAGCATAGAGAATATATTATATAGGCTTTCAAAGTTATCTACCGCAGCATACCAACCAATCGTAACTTCACCTTATGAGTTCGTCTACTACATATTGCTGACGCCGTTCAGATCCAGAGAAACAAACCTAACTTATGCATTCAAAAGAACCTGGTTCAGACGTTGTCCTTACCTTCGTCATCAAGGTTCGAATAATCCGCAATTTCAAGTGCTGGTTTGTAGGGATTTGATTGATTCGTTACAGGATTTAATCATGAGCTGACATCAATTAGAGAACTATTGGAAAACCATAGAGTACTGGACAGATGTTTCATCCTAGTTTGGGACTCTTCATCAGTACGCACCCACCCCCAGGATTCGAACTCAGAACCTTCTGGTCACAAGGATAGCGAGCTCGTAGACTATTAAGCCACTGGGACCCGATCCAACGACCAGCCACTTGAGTTCTAATTTCTGCCAATTCATGACATAGTGCGACCATTAGCCAATGTCTTCGGCGAGTATTTGTCCTCATACCCGACCTGCTGCACCCTACTGGTCACGACTTCTCACTAGAACCCAGGTAACTACCTACCTGAATGGGGCTTAATGGTTTACGAGCACGCCTTGTAACCAGAAGGTCTTTGGTTCGAACCCCGTTGGGTGCGTACTGCTGAATAGTCCCAAACTAGGACGAAACATCTGTCCAGTACTCCCTGGTTTTCTAATGGTTCTCTAACTAATGTCAGCTCATGATGAAATCCTGTAATCCTCAATTTGTTGTGGAAATTTCCTTAACTTTATTTCATATTCTATTTTTATGCTTATTATAATTCATGCTTTCTTTGGGAACTGTAATTCCGTTTCATCTTACTTAACAAATCGATAGTATTTAAAAGACACCAGTATTGTTAATGACGGCTATTCTAAAATATTATATATATATATATATATATATATATATATATATATATATATATTATTGTAAAGCCAGAAGACTAAATTATCGAAGAGGATTTTTTTCTCAATTTTTTTTCTTTTTTAATTCTATCTAAGTTAATTTTTGTCAAATTTTAACAATTGAATGATAAAAACGCCATCACTTGATAAATTACTTTAATTTTGGTAGAGACTTTAATTTCAAACTAGTACCAGCTGTAGTTCAAATGAGAACCCAGTGACTAACTTTCATTCATTTAAATAGCTTAACAGCTTAACACAGTGACAATAAAAATTCCGTTTATACAAATGCCAACTTTATGACTGTGTATATAGAAATATCATATTGCTACAGTGAACTGCACAACAATGTAGTATAATTTAATCTATACCTTAAATGCTGAATACTAATGACAACAAACTCGTGCTAATTTAGTGTGCCATACTTCTAGAAAAATGAGAGTTCTCATTATTTATTTATTGATAAGTCAATTTTACATTTTTTTTCTGTTAATTGATTATGTTGGAACGAAATCCTCGCTGTTCGTTGACGTGCTGGATCCGCTTCTATGACGTCTAACTCCTAGTTTAGAAATAGGGGGTGACGTGGCAGAGTACGTTGACCGCTTTACTTATTTGGGAAGTACTATCAGCCAGAGCCAACGGGCTGATCTCTGACGATATCTCACCACGGATACAGAGGACTAGGTTCGCATATACCAGTTTACGCCGTCTCTGGCGTAGACGTGATATCCGGCTGGCTATCGACCAAAGGGCGGGTGTACTGTTCATCAGTCCGCTCCGTCCTCCTTTTTGACTGGCTGTGAGCCCGACCAGCCCTTTGAGAGTGGAAGACATGAAAAGATTAGTTAGCTGTCTTTGATCATAGTTGCCTGCACTCCATCTCCCGTGTGAAGTGGTATAATAAGGTGAGCAATATTGAGGTTAGGCATCGGTCAAGTATTAGGTAAGGAAGGGGAATCAATCGATAAGGCTGTGAAATTACATCGACTGAGATGGTTAGGATATGTGTAACGCATGCCTAGTCATTGTCTTCCTCAACAGGCAGTGTTAGTTGACACAGGATGTATCTGGTTGGAAAAGAGGTAGTTATTGGTGGTCAAAACAAAACATGGAACCAGTCAATGAAATCTACAACAGTTAGTTTAAGCCAGCCAGCCAGCCACGTAGTGAGGTGTAGACTTCTTGACTGGTTGGGGTCCTCGGGATGGTAAAAACCAATGACGGCTGGAGACAATTGGTGATATGGCTCAAACACATCGTTCTCAATGACAGCGCAGATGCATCCACTCCTTGTGACTTATGATATCCAATGAAACTATATTGTTCTTCATTATTACTATTCCTTTGTCTCACACCTCTGTTTACTGTCTCTATTATGCATTTCTTGTACTTTCTTCTGTTGCTTTGTGTGATACATGGAGGGAGTGTGGGGACTTGAACTGGCGCATATTGGTGCAAAGTTCTATGTCGAAAATAGACAGGCAGACAGACGATGTCCAAGGACTGACGTGAACTTATTCTAGTTAGTGGTAACTAGCAGTGGAATTCAGGAGGCGCATTCAGTCCTTTACGGAACTGAGCCTTTCAGCTAAACATAATCAACCGGCAGGAAATGCTAACACAAATAAATAACTGATACCTGTCAATAAGCAGTGGCTCTTAAGGCATAGAAGATTATGCTCTGCCATTTGAAACGATACATAAGAAGTTAGAGTCCCGGTGGGTACACCCCTACACTCACTGAAAATGCAGGTACACCTCCAGATGACGAGTCCCAGAAAGGAAATAAAGGAGCATCCTGCACTCCACTGTTCGTCCGTCACCACCAACAACCAAAATAAAAGTTATGTCGGTAAACAATATAAAAAGCAATTCATCAGACTAGGAGAAAACTGTTATAATGAAAATAAGAGTAGTAATAAACAGGAGCAATTGAGGACCACATTATAAAGGCTATAACTGATCTTCTAGACTTATACTAAGCCCAAAAGATAACCTGGAACTTTCGATGTTTAGACCATGAAAACACTTCCAAATGCATAGATGCAAATGAAACAACTCCGAAAAGCCAGGACCAATTTGTATGTCTTTAATTTGACGTCTACGTGCAATAATGAATGTCAATGTAGTTGAAGATTGAACGATCAATTCATGGTTGTTTGCTCAAACCCAACTCCTCCATATTTTTCGCGGGAGTCATCAATCCAGCAGTCATCGTCTCATCGTTCGCTGTTCAGTGGAAGATAGAAAACTATCAGAAGTATTATCGTGATTTATTGTTATAACATTTATTCTTAGATCTTGTGTGTAATAACCTTATTGTTGGTTACATATTGGCGTAAGAATAAAGGATTCTCGAGTCGCCAATCTGTGTTCTGGTTTTTCGCGTTGGTTATTACACATTGTTTCTGAAAGTCTTCCAGGGACAGCGTGAGGTCCAGCGTAGTAAGACCTGGACACTGACAATGAGGAAAAACTATCTTATTCGATTGCTTCCAAATTTAACTCCTAAGGTTTTTTTTAAAAAATACACGACAACAAACAGATAGTTATTCATTTAAAAAGTATTAATTCCAAAGTAATAATAGCTATGGGCACTGGGTTCGAGCATCGGTGGGAGCATCATCACTCAGTGAGAAATCCAGGTACATCCGGATGACGAGTGCCAAATGGGACGAAATGCGCATCCTAGATTCCACTGCTAGTCACCATTCAGCAATTAACTTATAATAGGATAACCGTCTACTTCAAAAACTAAAGTAACTAACATACAAAATCCCCTTATAGGAATTCAAAGGAAACAATGTCAGATTACAGTGTTTCAAGAGTAATTCTTTTCATGCATACCAAAGAGGACAATATATACACCGAACTGATATGCGCCTAACGGTACTGTTGAACACATAACTTTTAAAAATGAAATCAGTGTTTCTATCTTACAAAACAAGTTGGACTATTGAATACTGCTCAAGTTAAAAGTAAATCTTTATTTATTTTCGTTTAAAGAATCATATGATAATTTACATTCAAACTTACTTCATTTCTTCTATTGTTTTCAGTAGCTGGTCACGTTCTTTACGTAATGCAGTCAACTCTGTATCATTTGATTTACTGTCTCGTGATGCCTTTGACGGATGTTGAGGAGGTAGTTGAGCATTTTCTTTACTGCCATTAACTGAAGATGAATGATTACTAATAATATTGCTATCAGTTTTGTTAAGCATTCCCGGTTGTGCTGGTGATGCTGGACGTGTTGATGAATCAATACGTGAAGTCTAAACAAGCAAAAAGGAAAAGAAAAGAAAAGCATAATTAACAAAAGTTAGTTTCCAGGTTAACACACATTAAATAAAAAAGGTGCATCGGTGGCACAGCGGTTAGGACACTCGCGGACTATGCACGTGGTCCAGGGTTCGATCCCCCGCCACAGACGCACTCCTTTACCTCGCTAAGCCAGAAATAATCCTGATAAAAAAGAAAGGCTGGGCATGAGGCTAGCAACCTCATCTTGTAAAATTAAACATTGCTACAGACACTTCAAGCCACTAGCTTGAAGTCACCCTATGTTTCACTGGGGAACGTGCAGGTAACCGCATTATGATGATCTTGGGCATTTGCATGGAATTCGAATTTTATTTTATACATAAATAAACGTAATTAGAGTACAATTTATATACACCTTTTACACCTCAAGCAGAATTTAAGTAGTATACTAACGAGAATTGTAAAAACGGCATGATTTCAAATAAACAAATGATCGATATATGACCGTTGGGTACAGAAGAAATATAATAAAAGGGGGGGGGGACATAAACAAATAATACGTAGAACGCAAGTGGTCAGTTACAACTTGAATTTCCTGAGTTGTAGTTGATTGCGTGTTACGGGCCTAGAGAGAAATGCTGTAATCATATCAGATGATACGTTTGGCTGTTTTAAAGTTGTTCACACAGCTGGGACATCTGTTATAGCATTCGCTATATTATAGGCGAAAACATCTCGCGATGGCTTTTATCTTCCCCGCAACCACCACAATAAAACTAGACAATCCTTCATATAACAAAAATAGAACAGCAGTTATACAAGATTCAAAGAAACCATATTCAACAACAAAAAAATGATCGATCAACATAAAGTAGCAAAAGCGATTACTGTTCAGTGTGACGGTGATGACAATAATGATCAAATGATAGAAATCGTATTAATGACAGATAAGATACACACACACACACACGAGCACAAAATTGTGCAACAATTCGTTTCAGTAGAAGTTGATTGGTAATAATTGACACCCAATAATAAATGACAACGATCAGATCTATTTCGTAGAATTGAGAATATATATATATATAAGAGTGAATATGCAGAACGAGGTCAAGATAAGGTACAAAATATTCTGAAGAAACACTATAATAGTGAAGCACAGTATGAGAGATTTTTAAAGTGACCTTGAAACTCAACGCAAACCAACCGTAAACCGTAATTAACCAATCGGAAACTCAGTAGTAGTAATAATAATAGCAGCAGACGCAGAATGTACAGAAGTGTTCAAATTTTAAATCAATGTCAACTTCTAATATGAATCCCAGTGGCTGAATAACTGCCTGTCTGTTTTCGACATAGAACATTGCACCAATATGCGCCAGTTCAAGTCCCCACACTCCCTCCATGTATCACACAAAGCAACAGAAGAAAGTACAAGAAATGCATAATAGAGACAGTAAACAGAGGTGTGAGACAAAGGAATAGTAATAATGAACAATATAGTTTCATTGGATATCATAAGTCACAAGGAGTGGATGCATCTGCACTATCATTGAGAACGATGTGTTTGAGCCATATCACCAATTGTCTCCAGCCGTCATTGGTTTTTACCATCCCGAGGACCCCAACCAGTCAAGAAGTCTACACCTCACTACGTGGCTGGCTGGCTGGCTTAAACTAACTGTTGTAGATTTCATTGACTGGTTCCATGTTTTGTTTTGACCACCAATAACTACCTCTTTTCCAACCAGATACATCCTGTGTCAACTAACACTGCCTGTTGAGGAAGACAATGACTAGGCATGCGTTACACATATCCTAACCATCTCAGTCGATGTAATTTCACAGCCTTATCGATTGATTCCCCTTCCTTACCTAATACTTGACCGATGCCTAACCTCAATATTGCTCATCTTACTATACCACTTCACACGGGAGATGGAGTGCAGGCAACTATGATCAAAGACAGCTAACTAATCTTTTCATGTCTTCCACTCTCAATGGCCAGGTCGAGCTCACAGCCAGTCAAAAAGGAAGACGGAGCGGACTGATGAGCAGCACACCCGCCCTTTTGTCGATAGCCAGCCGGATATCACGTCTACGCCAGGGACGGCGTAAACTGGTATATGCGAAACTAGTCCTCTGTATCCGTGGTGAGATTTCATCGGAGATGTACCCGTAGGGCAGTGGCTGAATAGTCAACGAACTCACCACCTTGTAACTTAAAAGTGTTGTGTTCGACATCTGTTGGAGTGATACGTGAGTACTGCTGAGCGGTTCGAAATATGAACGAAACAGTTGTTGCCTTGGAGTTTTAAGCAGTTAATCCCCGGTCGACATACTCTCAGAGCTCGCTTAGCAGGCAGCACCACTGATAAAGAGGGAAAGTTGAGCATGTGGTTAGCAGCCTAACTGAGTGAAAAAGCACGACTGCTATAGAAACTCTAAACCATAAGCTTGAAGCCTTATGTTCCATTCAAATCGCAAATGAATGAATAAAAAAAATACAAAAAAAAAAGTTCAATTCCCATTTAGTGATTTCATAATATTTGTACGACAACTTCCATAGAAAAACACTAAGCAGCATTAAAGTCCATAAAAGTAGACTAAAAAATGGGAACTCAAGGAGAGCTGACCTAAATTTTTACACCGCAAAAGAACTCACGATGAACAATCATCAGAAAGGCACATGCTCTCAAGTATTACCACAAAATATGAAGATTAAGCGAAGAAGAAGAAGCATAAAATTGCGAAAAATTTAAATATGAGTTGATGTTGATTGAAAATTTCCAACTTACGTTGGTTAGTTGGTGTTCTAAAGAACAATACTCTAAGTGACTTTGCCTACATAACCGTGAATTAAAATGCATGTTTTCATGTCACTAACGTCTGAAAGTAAACGACATGTTTCTACACTATTCAAATGCATTATAGAATAAATGTAAAATAGAAAAGATTTGTAGCTCAGGTGGATGATCTGCAATTAATAGTGTTCTCTAAGCTTGTCAGTTTAGTTGCAGAGCTTTCGTCCCCCCCCCCTTCTGGACAACATCCCCTTTCAGAGAAATATTTAGCATTAAGTGAAATGATTTAGATTTCTTCATGAGTGATTTAATTGTGTCTCCTGGTAACCATCTTTACATATGTATTAACCATTTTCTTCTCACTTGGATTTGAAACTTTCTGGTCACCTGATTTACTTTTTATTTGTTGGTTTATTTGGTCTATATTTTAACGTGTTTGTTAATTGCATATTCATTTGAGTACCAGGCTTCTAGAAATTCCCTGACTGCACTTTTGGTGTTTCCTCTGTCCAAGATTTCGACATTATCCCAATCAAACTGATGTCCATAATTGTCTATGTGCATTGATACTAAAGTATATGTATGGTGTCTTTTCACGGCTGATTTGTGTTCCGGGATTCTGATTCGAAGGGGACGACCACTCTGCCCGATATAATGCCTGTTACATTTCATACACAGAATTCATTTTGTAAATGGTATTAATTTTATCTCCTGTTTCTGTTGGATGTGTCTTTCGGTTTGCATAATATCGAATTAAGCGATTTGACTGGCTGGCTGGCTTGTGTGGTATATCTATATCAAACGGTTTCAGTATTCTAGCTGTTCGCTACTTCAGAGATATTTCTCATGTATGGTAGTAGGATGCATTTTCTTGTGTTCTTTGATGATGGTTCCTTGTTGGTGTTGTGATTCGATTTGAAACACTTTTTGATGAAATTGTGTGGATAACCATTCTTTTTGAAGACCGTTTGTAGGTATTTTTCTTCCATTGTTTTCAACTATGGAGTGCTGCAACAGTGTGTTTGAGGTCTTTTAAACAATGTCTGCACACAGTTTCTTTTGTGAGTGAGTAAATGGATTATTGCTAGTAAATCAACCAGCTCAGAGAACACTATTAATTGCAGAATAAATGTATCCAAATACTAATTCACTTATAATCCTATCTTTTCAATTAACTTAGCAATATTCCAGTCACTTAGAAGCGTCACTATCTCTAAAACAACAATAGTGACATGAATAAAAAATGATTGGAACTACGATCACTCCTCAAAATTCCCATCTCATGGACATAACCTGATTTTCATATGTATACTTGAAGAAAACACTGTTTGCGATTAAAACAAAAAATTAACCATCTGGAATCACTCACGAAAAGCTCAAACGTTGCAGTATATGTATGACATTAACAACCTGAGAAATGCATTTTAGGCTAATTATTAAAAATAAAAAAACTTTCGAGAGAATTACCTCCATTTCAAGGTAACCTTCACAGGATCTGTGAAATGATCACAAGAGGCATAATATAAACTGAAAATTGACCACAAACAGATACATAATTTTCAGAAATAATAAGTGGGAAGATAGTCTCCATTGTAATGGAAACAATAGGAACAATTATAATAACATCACTTACAGAGGAGACCAAACAATAAAGTAAATTGTATGTTCAAGGAATCATTTTCATCATATATATATGATTAAAACATATTTCCGCCATTGTACATTGAGCTAATCCAGTAGGCACATGATGCTATGCCTATTTAAAGATAATCTATATGTGTATACGTGTGTGTTTGTGTGTGACAGAGGGACAAAAGAATACTGCATCTTCCAATCACATTTATCCAGAAGACAAGAAGACTATTCTCCATCCGTCGATAGAACATGATTACGATTGGTACAAAGTTAATTAGTTTTACCATCATTGAAAACCAATTGTTTCTCATATTTGCAAACCTTCGCCTTTTCTACACATTTCTGATGGATTCCGCCCGCCCCCCCCCCACCCCACACCAGCCGCCTAACTCAACTGCAGTTTATACAAATAGATATCTGACTTTTAACCAATAATATTTGAGGAGGCGAAGCACAATTATGCTTCATAAAGTATGAAAAACCAAATAAGGACATTCAAATGTTGGTTTGTTGGGATTTGATTGGTTACAGGATTTTCATCATGATCTGACATTAGCTACAGAACCATTGGA